CGCTCCGGCCTGGTCCTGGGAATTCTTCCTCCTCCTCACTCAGAACCCGTGCCTCAGTTTCCCTACGCCCTACTTGCAAGGTCGCCCCTCGCCCCCGAGCGTCCTGAGACGCCCCGGGAAACTCCAAGAGAGGGCGGAACTGGGACTACAGGGATCGGTGGAAGAGAAAGCATGGAGCCTCGACTAAGGTATTGCAGGGGCAAAGGGGGTGTCTGGACCCCAGTAAGAGAAGAACTTGGAGCCAGGCCGATTGGACTCACCCACAGCTCGGTGCCCCAATCCATGCTGCTCCCGCCGAGGCCGCCACCGAAGCCGCCGCTCCCGGTCCCCGCCGCCTGCCTCGCCCGGTCCCGGCCGCCCGCCGCGGGGAGACTCAGCCTGAGGCTGGGCGCCCGGCCCGGCCCGGCCCCGCCAAGGCCCCGCCCCGCCAAGGCCCCGCCTACTCTCGGCTCTGCCACGCCCCGGTCCGCGCGGATCTCCAGCACAGAACCCAAAGGCGGGGTCGTGGGATGGAACTGGACAGACACCTTAAAGGACCACCACCCCTTTTCCAAATCCCCGGGCCCCTACCCATGCCCCGTTCTAACTTTACTCTTTCCCTTCAACTATTCCTTAAAGTGTCAAGACACTAAAACCCCATCCAAGAGGTCCTTCCCCCACCCTTTCGCAGGGAGAACCTGAGGTCGCTAAGCTCTTGCGGGCCGGCGCGGCTCCAGACGTCTATGCTCATCCCACTAATGGTCTTGTCCCTCCGGCCACAGGGCGGATAGGAGGACTTCGATCTGTCCAGGACTAGCCTCCGCCAAGGCCGGGTCCATTAGCTCCCCCACCGCATCCTGCCTCCCCCCCCCCCCCTAAAATCTGCATTGGGAAACTGAGGACGGACCGTCCTTGGGACACCGGGCCCAGGCCTTTCCTCGGTTTCCGTCCTGTTCGCGTTTGCATCTGCCCATTTTTCAATCGCATCCATCAAGGCCCAATTAGGTTTAATTGTCTGTAATGGGATTCCGATTCCGCCCCTCCCTCCATACTTGGGCCTGGAGCTGGGAAGTCTTTGGCTCCCTCATAAAAGTTTGTTTACACTTTGTTAATCCCTTTGAGGCACTGGGATGAAAGAGGAGAGATCCCAGCAGCTCCCACCCTTATCCTCTTCCGCGTTTATTGCTTTCTCTGTGGATACAGAAGTTACAGATGCTCTGCTGGGGCTAGGAGCTCTGGCCCAAGGGACAAGTTAGGCTCTGAACTCCCAGACGCCCGGTACACATACCAGTGAGCTCCTGGAGCCCTAACTGGGAGAGATGGCGCTACACCATATCAGTTCTCAACCTGTGGGTCGTGACCCCTTTGGGAGTCTAACGACCCTTTCACAGGGGTCGCCTAAGACCATTGGAAAATACATATTTCCTATGGCGATTCATAACAGTAGCAAAATTACAGTTATGAAGTAGCAATGAAAATTTTATGGTTGGGGGTCACCACAACATAAGGAACTGTATCGCGGCTTTAGGAAGGTTGAGAACCACTGCTCTACGGGGACCTGGCCCCACCTGCTGGTGGCTTCTGAGCTAGAAAACCTCAAGTTGCTAAGTAGGCTGTGCTCCAGAATTTGGGCTAGGCTGGGGTCTGGACACTGTACCTCAGCCTAAGATTAGGGTCTCAACTCTCGTCTCAAACTCAGATTGGAATTGGGACTTATGCCAGGTTGGGAATGAAGTTGGGATGAAATCTCAGATGGGTCAGAGGCTTAACAGAGGGGTCAACAACCCAGTTGGAGGTCTAACACTCAAACTAGGGTTCAGCAGTCTGGCCTCATCTGGGGTCAGGGCTCTCAGTCCAGGTGAGGGTCCTAACCACAGATGAAGGTTCAGTGTAGGTCGAAGGTCAGAAGGGTGTGGGGAATTTGGGTTTCAGGCTGAGGTCGGTGTTTAGCTGCAGCTTGGGAACTCAGATTGTGGTCAGAGTTCAGCCCATAGTCAAGTCCAACCTGGGATCTGGGGGTGGGCCTCCAGTTGCCTCATTCTGGGATAGGAAGCTTCACCTGAGGCTGAGACTCAGCCTGGGGTCATAGGTCATTTTAGGGTCAAGATTTAGCCTGGGGCCAGGTTTAGGCTTCTAGGTTGATCAAAAAGATTAGAACAGGATAGGCCTCAGCATATGCGCGTTATTTACCAAAAGCTTGAACTCTGGCTAGGAGCCACGTCCCGAGGTCAGGAAAGTGAAAGCCCGTAATTGGGAATCCTGGGAAAGGTAGTTTACTTAATGCCTTGTTGAGCTGTCTGCTCCCTCTGCATTCTGGGTACGGTAGTCGTGAGCCAGTCTGTCAGTTAAGAGTGGGTGGAGGAATGCCTTAAGAGTCGGCTATCAGATCTGTTACAATTGGTTAATGGATTGTTTATCAAATTAACATCCGGGACCATTTTTCTAGTGATTGGTGAAAGTAAAGGCGGGGTTAAGCGTTACCAGCACTCCCATTGGGAGCCAGTGCTGTCCATTCGGTGTCCCGAAGGAGCGGATTTGTAAGGAGCTAATCGCTGACTGGCTAAGTGGGCTGGAAAAGCCGCAAGGTCGGCCCCAACCGTGCAGCGATTGGCTCACCCGTAGGCAGGCGCGGTGGCTCTGGAGGCGGCAGAGAGCGCGAGGAGGGGGCTCGCCTCGGGTACGCCACGGAGTGGGAGTAGAGGCTACCTCTACTGCTGCTGCTGGACTGCTGTTCTGGGCGCTTCCACCGGCTGGCGCTGACAATCTGGGGCGGGAGACTCAGTTTTGTACCAGAGAAGCCTCTGGCTTGGAGTTGTCTCTTCCTATTTCCCCGGCTCCTTACGCGGGATGGAGCAGTCCAGCGTCCCCCACCCCCACCCCGCCCCTTCCAGGACCGGAGTGTTCCCGTCCCAGGAGCACCTCAGTCCTCCGGAAGGAGTTGCCTGGTGCCTCACGCTGGGGTCGTGCCCCGCCCATCTGGGGTGGAGCCTTATCTTCCCGGACCCCCAGATTCTTAGCCCTCTAAATTCTTGGGATCGCTGTGAGGGCGCTAATGACCCTTGGCTCCATACAGGAGAGTCCCCGGGGACTCGTTCTAGAATGGGGTCCTCTGGGCATTCATTGGGATCTTGGGGGCTCAGATGAAATAAGCACTCTGAGGGCTCAGTGTGGGATCTAAAAGTTGTCCGGGAGTTGAAGGCCAGACACCTGAATGAATAGCTCTGCTTTCAGGGTGGTACTCACCCAGTGGAGGGACTACCAGGTGCCCCACGCCTTATTCCTGGAATTTCAGAACAGTGCGGAAGGACCCGGAGCCATTCTGCCCTGCCTAGGATTGGTTTGGGGACACAGCCTCCAGGGAGGCCCTCGTAGCCTGTGCTGTCACCCCTTTGGAGTTGTCCTAAATAAAGAGGTGCCAGAAGGGGGCTGACAGAGGCCCTTGGGGAGCCTCATACCAGAGCCCTAGGGCTGGGCCGGTGAGAAGTCAAAAGTGCTTCTGTTTCCTTGGTGTCCTGCAGGGGGAGAAGCGACCAGCTGAACAGCTTCGGTTTCTACACTAAGGGCTCCATGGAGGTGAACCTAAGAGCCTCCTGTGTCTGGGCCTTAAGGAAATGAAAGAGAAGACCCCTGTGGTGAGGGGCTTTGAGGGGTTTACTGGAGGAGGGTGAAGTGCACAGGTGCCCAAGCCCACCTCCCCCCAGTTCTGGATTCACATCTTAGCTCTGCATCTCACCCATATGATCTTGGGCAAGTCCTTTGATCTCTCTGAGCCTCAGTTTTCTCATCTGGAACATGGGAATAATAATATTTCATGCAATATGTGTGAGGCACTGAGTTGAGGTGGGGGAAAGGGCATAGCAATGAATAAGAAAGCCCCCCCCCCCGGGGGGGGATAGGGAGGAGGTTGTCAATGGGGAAAAAAAGGAGAAACATCTGTAACAAAAATAAAATTAAAAAAGAGAAAATAAAAAAGACAGCCCCAGTACCCACAGTCAGAACGAATAACTAGCATTTATTAAATGCCCACTGGGTACCATGTACCATGCAAAGCAATTCCCATGGGTCTGTTTCCTTGTAGCCACCTTTCGGGGATGCTGCAAAAATGTCACACCTGTAAAGCCAATTTTACAGGTGTTTGCCCAGGCTTCAGGTATGTGGCTTGCTCAGTGACAGAGCCTGCATGCAAATCCAGGTGTGCTGGATTCCGGAGTTCAAGACAGGAAACCATCAACATTTTATTGATTTAAAATTTAAAAAAATTTTTTTTTGCATCAACATTTTATTTAATTTTTAAAATGTTTTATTTATTTATTTTTTTAGAGAGAGAGGAAGGAAGAGAGAAATAGAAACTTTGATGTCAGAGAGAAACATCCATCGGCTGCCTCCTGCACACCCCCTACTGGGGATCTAGCCAGGCATGTGCCCTGACCAGGAATCGAACCAGGACCTCTCAGTCCCTGGGATGACACTCAGTCCACTGAGCCACACCTTACCTTACGGGTTACATAAACATTTTAATTAGGGGGGAAAAGGGATGGGCTAGGTTCAGAGGACTGGTGAAGGTCTCCCTGAAGAAGTGACATCCAAGTGTCGGTGAGTGCCTTCAGGCTCCTCCTCACCCTAAACTGAGGCCTCCTTTCCCTTCCGTCTGCCCCCACCACCCAGTTCCACGTGGTGATTGGCTTGAAGGCCAAGGAATGCCAATATAGCCTCAATTTCCACAACTGCTACAACCCATTCGTGGACAGGAGCAGCCATTCAACGTCACACATTGAGTGGACAAGAGGGCAGCAGGTTCACAGAGCTCTAACTACAGGCCAGGTACACCACGCTGAGTTTAGCTTCATCAGATCTTCCTGGTAGCTGTGCTGTGAAATAAAACACTGATGTACCCATTTGGGAGATGGAAAGTTAGAAAGGGAGTTGGTTAGCTAGAGTGTGGGAGAGCTGGAGGTGCCCAGTAGTGGTTCTGCAAGTCCAGAGCTAGCATGAACCCCACTCCCACTGCCCCCTCCCCAGTAATGATCCAGGTGAAGAAACCTGAGGGCTTTCTGTTGAGAGTAGAAATTCCCCTTTCTAGCTCTACATTCACGTATCGTACCTCTTTCTGTCCCTGACCATCCCTGCCAGGTACAACATCTTCAAGATCCACTGGCTCATGGCAGCCCTGGCTTTCACCAAGGGTATCTCACTCCTTTTTCATATGTGAGAACCTGGGCCCAGAGCAGGGTGTGGGCTGGGGTCCCTGGGTCCAGGAAGCGATCTGAACAGGCCACTCCCCAAATCACTGCAGTCCCTGGGCTTGGCAGTTCCATGTGTCCATCCATTTTATCATTGTGGCCAGCTGTCCATCCACTTCATCTATCTGTACAGCTGTGACTATCTACCTGACTAATTGTTTCACTCTCTATCCATCTAACTATGACCTTTCCTCCCTGTGGTTGTGACTGCCCATCCCTCAGTCCAGCCATTGGGCTGTGCCTGTCCATTTATTTTTAAAAATATTTTTCTTTATTACTTTTAGGGAGAGAGGAAGGGAGCAGGAGAGAGAGAGACATTGATGAGAGAGGACATCGATCGGCTGCCTCCTGCATAGCCAGGCATGTGACTGTCCATTTTTTGAGTCCACTCACCATCCTGATCATAATTATCAGTTCAGTTGACTTTCTAGCCACCCATCTGACTATGATTGTCCGTATTCCTAAACCACCACCCTCCACCCATTTGTAACCACTGCCCATCTCTCTCACTGTCCATTTATCCATCCACCTCCTACTACAACTACAACAGCCAGGGCCACCCCTTCAAAGGCCTCGCTGTCATGCACTACATCACACACCTGTGAGTGACTTCTGCCCGAAAGGTATTGAGCAGCAGGCAGGGGAAGGCTGGGTGCCCCATCTCACCACACCCCTTCCCCGACCTCTAGGCTGAAGGGTGCCCTCCTCTTCATCACCATTGCCCTGATCAGTTCTGGCTGGGCTTTTGTCAAATACATCCTGTCCGACAAGGAGAAGATCTTTGGGATCATGATCCTGATACTGGTGCATCTGGGGCACCAAGTGGGCATGCCTGCACATGTGGAGAATGCCCACCCACCCCATTCCTGCCCCCACAGGTCCTGGCCAACATGGGCTACATAATCATCAAGTCCTGTGAGGAGGGCATCATTGACTATGGACTTCTCTTTCTGATGGATCTTATCTGTTGTGATGCTATCCTTTTTCCTGTGGTCTGTTGAGGACTCTGCCCCCACCATCCCCCAGGCCCAGACCCTGCCCCCCTGCCCCCCCATGGACATGGATGGAGGCAGCACTGACTGTTCCCTGTGTGCCCCACTCCTTCCCAGGTTCATCTGGCATCTGGTCCCAACAGGAAAGGTGAGGCCCTGCTCCCTGGGACCTGCTGTGCCCCCAGCCCCCATCCTGCCCCAGGCCCTTCGTGCTGACCCCCTGACATCCCTCCCCTCCCCTCTGACTGCTCTCTCCTGCTTCTCTATCCCTTACATTGTTTGCTGGACATCCCCCTTCAGACTTTGTGCCCTATGTCCTCCCTGTCCCTAGCCCACCTCCATCCCTCTCCCCTTGGGCCTGCTGCCAGCCTCTGCCCCTGACCCCCACTCTCTGTGCCCACCCTCAGTGGCAGTGAACCTGGCCAAGCTGAAGGTGTTTCGGCATTACTATGCTATGGCAGGAACCTCGTTCTCATTCATGAGGGACGTTTTGAGGGGAGGACAAATAGCCCCTTGGCACACCCTCCCTAAACCCTCTTTCTGCAGTGCCTCTGAGCCCCCCACCCTTGCCCAAGCTCTCGTTTTGTGAGGGCTCCACTCACACCTTGTTCACCACAGGTTACAACTTCCAGCAGGCAGGCAACAACCCTGAGCAAGCTTGAGCCCAGGGCGGGGAGTGGGCGGGGCTGGGGCGTTGGGTATGGATTGGGTAGAAGTGGGGTGGACCGGGCCTGGCAATCCTGGGGATGGCCTGGCACTTGCTCCTGGGGGTGGAGTGGGGTGGGGCCAGAAGGTTGGAGGTTGGATTTGGTGGGGGCCACGGGGGCGGGGCCTGGCACTCCTCAGCTCCTAGCCCGCTTTGCTGTGCGCCTCTGGAATGACCCATTCTGGGTTCCGATTCTGGGTTCCACAAGACCTGGCCAAAGTCAAAACAGCCAGTGGGCAGGAGCTGTTGTGATCATCCCTCCATCTCGGACCATGCTTTTTCACCCTCCTTCTCTGCTCACACACATTCTTCACTCCAGCTTCTCACCCAGAGTGTGGGGGGTGAGTAGGGGGGGTGGCGGTGCACATAAGGCACCCAACTCCCTGGGAGCCGTGTTCCCAGAGCCCATTCAGAAGAAGATGGACATCCTCCTCTAGAATGGATAAATGGTTTAATCTGTTTCCTCACATGTAAACTGAGAGTCATTGAGTATCACATATGAGTGTCTGGCTCAGTGCAGTGCCCAGCAACGTAGCCTAACCTTCTGTGGATTGCTGAAACTCGAGGAGTGACCTAAGGTTACAGATGCACTTGTGCACACACCTGTGGACAGACTCCGAAAATGCCTTTTGTGTCCCCCCCCCCCCCCGCTCTTAAACTGGAGTACCCACGACCCCTTTTGAAGCTTTGAGAAACATTCCCAATGGGGGCTGCAGGCACAGGACAGGGGTTGGGAACCAGGCTGGGGTCAAGGCTTCCTGCTAGTGGAAACAAGTGTAACTGGGGCCCAGATGAACAAATCCTCCAGCCAAAGAAGGAAGTGGGAAGGCATTGCAGAGTGAGGAAATTGGGTGAGCAAGGTGAAGAAGCCCAGAATAGCTTGCAAGTCCTGCTGTAACGTTGGTTGGGACCAATGGAGGACAAAAGCAGCTAGCAGAAACCTGAAGACAGGCAGACACACTTGGACTTTGTGCTGGGACCCATGGACACCAAGGACAAGTTTAAAGCAGGAAGGGATATGGCCATACAGGGTCGATGTTTTATCCACATGCATTCTGGGGTAGGCAGTCATGGCTCCCCAAATATATCCACATCCTAATCTCCAGAATCTGTGAATACGTTACTCAGCATGACAAAAGACACTTCGTAGATATGATTAAATTGAGGATCTTAGATGAGGGCTTATTCTGGATTATTCAGGTGAGCCCAATGTCATTACATGGGTCCTTATAAGAAGGAGGCAGAAGGATTAATGTCAGGGAATGAGATGTGATGATGGAAACCGGCTGGAGTGATGTGCTTTGAAGATGGAAGAAAGCCATGAGCCAAGGAACACAGGCAGCTTCCAGAACCTGGAAAAGGCAGGGAGCAGATTCTCCCTCTAGAACCTCCAGATGGAACTAGCCCTGCCGACACCTTGATTTCAGACTTCTGCCCCCCAGAACTATGAGACAATAAATAGGTGTTGTTTTAAGCCATCATGCTTGTGGTCATTTGTTCTAGCAGCAGTCAGAAGCTCACAGTTTAGGAGCACAAATCTGGAGTCCAGATGCCTGGGTTCAAATCCTAGCTCTTACTAGCTAGAGGATATGGTTTTTTTTTTAATTTAAAAAATTTTTTTGGTATGTGCCCCTAGCAGGAACTGAACCTGAGACTCTTTGGTCCACAGGCTGACACTCTAACCACTGAGCCAAACCAGCCAGGGCTAGCTAGAGGATCTTGAGCAAGTGGCCAAAGCCCTCAGCTTCTTCATTTGTAAAGTGGGGATAGAAATAGCACCTATGGCAGGTGAAATAAAGCAGATACATGAAATAGGCAAGATGCTGCTAGTCCTCATGGAGACATTTGTCAGTTGCACATCATGTATTATTGTACATCATGACTTTGTAGAAGGAATACAAAGGTGTGTTTTAGGGGTGAATCTCCAGTTAATGTGATGTAAATGAACTGGAGGAGTTGAGTCTAAAGCAAGGAGGCCAGGGAGCACAGGGGTGGAGAGAAGGTATGGGCTTGAAGAGACAGTATAGCAGTTGGTGAGGGCTGTGCACAGAGGGTGAGGGAGAGGGAGGAGGTGAGGACTCTGGCTGGGAGGCCTGTTGGGGCTGTCAAAGAAATCAGGCAAGAGGGAGGAGGAGCAGGTATTGGCACAAATAAGTTTACGGCTCAAGCATGTCCATCGCTTGCTATGTGTGTGATGCCACGCTGAGCATTCTGTTTGCCTGATGCCACCTAATGCCACCTGCTTGTCACCCCAAGGCTTGAAGGGAGGTACATGACTGTGAACGTCCAGTGTACAGCTCCAGAACAGGCTGGGTGAAGTCAAAGCTATAATCAAAACCTGCCCACTCCGTCCTTCCAAGATAAGGGTACCTGGTGCCCAGGCTTCTGCTGAGTGAGCATGAAAGCATGGGGAACAGGAGCCATAGGGCAGATGGATTGATTCAATCAGGTCAAGGTTACTTACCAGTTAATGAGTAATGAATGGGGTGGTGGGGTAGGGGGAAGACCAGGCTGCATGGTGGGGTGGAGGGGAAGGGCTGGCTGTGGGTCGTGGAGGGGAACTCTTGGCAAGCAGTGTAGCAAGGATCCTGTCTTGGAAGTAGGAGGCCAGGAGTGAGGGGGGCTTCTTGCTGTTTCCAGACCTGGCGGTGCCTCTGTAGGGATAGGGTGGAGCGCAGCAGGGAGATTACTGCACCCAGGCAGGTGTGGGATGGGGGAGGGGTGCCCAGGCGGCCTACCCAGAAGTCATCTCCACTTTCTTCCTCTTCTCTCCTTGCAGCCCAGCTAGTGTTATCAGGCAAAATACAGGGCACCCAGTAAAATTTAAATTTCAGGTAAATGACACAAGCTTTGTTAGTACAAGTACGTCCCAGGTGGCCCACTTAGTGTCTGTCCAGGCAGCCTCGCTCTACTGCTCTCCATGCCCAAATGCTGGGCCAGATGGGCCTACTAATTGGAAGTCCCCTCACAAGCCACCTTCCCTCCGCCCTCCCTTCTGGCTTAGCTTGTCCACCATCCCCCTCCCAAACTTCACACATAAGAGCCAAGGAGCATTCCTCCAGCTACCTCTGTCCCTCCCAGTGGGTACCTTGCTACACCCCCCCCCCCCATCCCTCTAGTCCGAGACATCTCTCCTCTGCTCCTTTAATTGTCCAAAAAGCAAGAATTATCAGCAGTCTCATCATTCAGATGGATTCACTGAGGCTCTAAGAAAGGAGGAACCAAGCCCCACAGGGAGACAGGGCAGGCCAGGAACTCCTCAAAGCTGTCAAACCACAAAGCCTGCACAAGGAAGGCTGTAATAAAATCAGGAAATGGGGTAGGAGTTTGAGGTGAATAAGGGAGGAAAATAAGGGCAGCATTGGGAGGCTGGGGAATCCTAGCAGGCATCCCTGCCCTAGTTTCAGAAGTTCAAGCCCAGTTCCTGAGAAAAAGCAAGCATGTTTGCACTCTGTCTCCTCTTCTAAAGAAAGCTTGTCGCAATCACAGCAGACAGAGTCCAGATTTGTTCTCTTTCTCAGTGCCTCCCCCCAGCTCTGGGCATTGAGGCATAGCCAGGAAAAGAGCAAGAGCGTGGTTTACAGGAACTCAGAACCGGTTTCCCGTTAACCCCTTCAATGGGGCTTTGGAAACCAGCCCTCCGGGAATGAGGATCCCCAAATACTATGCCCTGACTTCACACACCCCCTACCCCAGATGCCCAATCTTGCTGGGAATCAGATAGATGCACATTAAAATGATACTGAGGCAAAAGTTCAAACTTTGCTCACATCACCTCATGGAGGGGTGAGGTTTACAGTGGGGACATTGATAGTTTTCTGCAGGGCCAGAAAGTATCAATTAATACAATTATGGAGGGGAACTCAGCATTATCTAGTAAGATTACCAATGCACATAGACTCTGATCTGGGTCATCTCCTTTCCTTACAAATAAACATGTGAAGTGGGCAATGTGATAACCCCATTTGATATGGGGAAACAGGCTCAGAGTGGTTCTCAGGAGCTTGATCCCACTAATCAGTATTAGAGCTGGAAAGTGACACAGGCTTATAACTCGTTGGCAAAAGTATGTTTTGTAACCATGGAAGTCTGTCCATCAGATGGAGGCTGGTGACTTTCACACAGTGTAAATAAGGCAGTCCTTTTAAGAACAAGGAAATTCTGTGTGCACTCGTAATCAGTAGTCTCTAACTGCTAATAAGGAAACGAGGAAGAATAATATAGAGAGAGCATGCCAATCTTTGTTCCTACAACTTGTGAATATTTGTAAACGTTAACGATATCTCTGGAAAAAAACATGATCCTTCATTACATGGTCATGTCTGGGACCTGGATGGCTCGTAACAGGCCCAGGAAGAAAATGATCTTTTCCCTATATATACTTGTACCTTTTATTTATTATTATTATATTATTATTGGTATGTGCCCCTAGTGGGAACCGAACCCAGGACTCTCTGGTCCACAGGCCAACGCTCCAACCGTTAAGCCAAACTAGCCAGGGCTACACTTGTACCTTTTAAATGTTAAATCATATGAATTATATTACCTATTTACATAAAACATTAAATATAATTTTTAATAATAATAATATCCTAAGAGGATGCTGATGAAAGACAAATATAAAAGCTAGCAATGGGGCCTGGCTGGTGTGGCTCAGTGGCTGAGCATCAACCCATGCACCAAGAGGTTGCTGGTTCGATTCCCAGTCAGGGCACATGCCCAGGTTGTGGGCACGCAGGAGGCGGCCAGTCAGTGTTCTCTCTCTTTAATGCTCCTGTCTCTCTCTCCCTCTCCCTTCCTCTCTCTCTAAAATCAATAAAGAAAAAATATTTTTTTAAAAAAGTTATCAATGGATACATTCCTCAAAGATGACTTTTTAAATCTTCATAGCTATTCAGGCATCCTAACAAGGGTAGGAGAAGGGAGCTCCAGGCTCCAATTGCCCTAGAAAACATGCTCACCTAGACAGTGAACTTCAATGCATACTTCAAAGCCCAGCTGAAATGTCCCTTTGCCCAAGAAGACCCCTCCGACCCTCCAAGAAGCAGAGTTCTTTTCCACCTGAGATAACACTCCAGAGGACTAGGAGTGTCTGGGCTGGACTCTGTCACCACCCCTACCCCAGCATGGAAGACCCTGGAAGTGGGACTCTAGCTACCAACATGGAGATGGATTTGTAGGAAGTGTTTGGTTAATAAACGCATGGACAAAACTAGACTGGGCCAGGCCCAGATATCTGAGGTCGGGATTGGGGTGTGTGTCTGGCCCTCAATGTTCCTCTGCTACAAAGTGGGTATAACAGGGAAAGGTCCCTGTTCACTCACTGGCCTTGCCCCCGAGGAAGGCTAGGGCAGGGGCAACGGTTTTCATGTTGGAAGAGGACATGTCCTCAGGTTATTTACCCAGCACATGCTGGCCCAGGAAATTGAAAAACTTAGGAAACAGAATTGAGAAATCTGGGGCAGCCCCGGGGAGGGGAGAGGCCACAGGGAACAGAGGGCTGGGCTGAGTGGGGGAAAGGCGGGAGCCAGATAAAAGGGGGCCTCCAACAGCCTCTGCTCACTCCTCCCCATCCTCTCCCTCCGTCCCTCCGTCCCTCTGTCCCTCCACTGTCCCTGTACCATGGGGCCTGCCTCAGGTCCCAGGCTGCTGCTGCTGCTGCTGCTGACCTGTCTCCCCCTGGCCCTTGGGGACCCTATGTGAGTAGTCATGACCCCACCCTAAACAAGGCGACTTCTGAGGTGGGAGTGGGCATTCTTGGGTTCAGGTCCTTGTAGAATTCAGGGTGCATTTGTGTGTCTGTGGAGGAGAAGTTAGTGGGTTGGAATGTAAATAAATGAGGGCTGCCTGTGACTTTGCAAGTTTATGGATTGGGGGTGGATGTTTATAAAACTGGGCATCTGTAGGTTTAGGGTGCATGTGGTGTTTGGTGGTTCTGTGGATGAGGTGGTTGGGCTTTAGAGGATTTGGCTGTTTGCAGTTTTAGGATTGATGGGTTTCAGTGTTTGTAGAGATGTGATATGGGTTTATGTCAGCTTCTGGGGGTGGATTGTTGTTTTTATAGGCCTGGGGTGATAGAGGTTTAGGTAGAGTCTTAGGATGTACAAGAATTTGGAATTTAAAGGTTTGGTACATGGGAGTTTGGGTATGTATAGTTTGGGATGCCTGAGGGTCTGGGTGTTTAGAGATTGGTGTATTTAAAGATTTAGGGATTAGGATTTCAGGAGTAAGTATGTGGGTTGTCCAATTGTGGGTTTGGAAGTCTAGAGAATTGGGGGACTTGCTGGTTGTGGTTTTGAGTTTCAGGGGTTGATGGAGCCTGCAGTCCCTGAGCTGTTGCTGGTCACTGGATCCCCTCCAGGACTGGGGACTGGTGCAGACCTCAGTGAGGGCTGGAATGTCAGGTCCCTGGGATGACCCCGTGTACTCCTCTGGCAGGTTCTCTCTGATCACCCCTAACATCCTGAGGCTAGAGAACGAGGAGACAGTGGTGCTAGAGGCCCACAATTTGAAAAAAGACATTTCTGTCACGGTTATCGTATACGACTTCCCAGCCAAGAAGCAGGTGCTGACCAGAGAGAACACCATCCTGACCAGCGCCAATGACTACCTGAACACTGTCAACATCAAGGTGGGTGCACACTGGAGCCCGGCTCTGCTGCCCCTCTGCCCTTCTATGGATCTTCTCTCCATATGAGCCCCTCCACTATGAGCCTGCTCTTCCTCAGCCCTTCCCCCCCCCTTTTTTTTTTATCCTCACCCAGGACATTTTTGCATTTATCTTTAGATAGAGCGGGAGGGAGAGAAAGAGGAAGAGAGAGAGAGAAACATCAATGTGAGAGAGACACATTGTCCAGTGGTTGCCACCTGCACGACCCCAACTGGGGCCAAGGACACACTGCAACTGAGGTACATGCCCTTAGCAGAAACCAAACCCGGGACTCTCTGGTCCGTGCACCGACACCCTAACCACTGAGCCAAACCAGCCAGGGCTTCCCTTCTTTTTTTTTTTTTTTTTTAATCCTTAATGAGAATATGCTTCCACCGATTCTAGAGAGAGAGGAAGGGGGGAGAGAGAGAGAGAAAGAGAAAGAGACATCAATTTGTTGCCTCCTGCACATGCCCTGACTGGGGCCAGGATCGAACCTGCAACCTGGGTATGTGCCCCGAAAGGAAATTAAAACTAAAGACCTTTTGGTGTACAATGACGACTCTCTAACCAATTAAGTCACACTGGCCAAGGCAACCCTTCCCCTCTTCGAGTCTCCCCCCTGCTTGGGCCTCTCCTTTTAGTGGCCCCGCCCCTTGTGAGCCCCTCCCCCACTCTGAGTCCCTTCTCTTCCAAGTCCGAGCATCTCTGTGCCCCCTCCTTTCTGAGCCCCTTCCACTACTGAGCCCTCCATCCTCTGAACCCCTATTTGATTCCCCCTTTCCATTCCTATCTCTGACCCCTAGCCCCTCTCTTGCCCTTACCTCCTCCCCTAGTACTCCCCTCTCCTCAAAACAGAGAGACCAGGAGTAATGGGCAGGTTCTGTTGTGAGGAGGGGCAGCTGTGGAGCCAGCCTAGAGGCTGGACCATGGGCAAAGGGCCCTGGAGCAAACCTCTTCTGATACCCTGATTCATGCCTAGATCCCGGCCAGCAAAGAGTTAAAAGCACAGAAGAAGAATTTTGTGATTGTCCATGCGTCCTTCGGTACCACTGTGGTGGAGAAGGAGGTGCTAGTCAGCCTTCAGAGCGGGTATCTCTTCATCCAGACAGACAAGACCATCTATACTCCAGGCTCCACAGGTAGGAGGCTAGTGGGTGGCTCAGAGGGCTCGGGTTGGGTCATTGGGAGGGGCGGGGCCTCACCGAGCTGTCCTTTTCTCTCCCACCACCTCCCAGTCCTCTATCGGATCTTCACCGTGGACAACAAGCTGCTGCCCGTGGGCCGAACAGTCATTGTCAGCATTGAGGTACCAGCCAGCGGACCCCCAGACACACTTGGGGCAGAGATTCAAGGAGAGACAAAGAGAGTTTGAGACAGAGAAAGAGACACTAGAAAAGACCCCAAAGCAAAGAAATATATAGAGGCACAAACACAGAGACCTAGAGATGGGCAGGGACCCAGGGAGATGGCATGGAGCAAAGCTTGCTCCTGTGGATTCCGGCTCCAGATAAAACCTTGGTCCCTGTGACTCTGGCCAGGTCATTCACCTTCCTGAGCCTAAGTTTTCTCATCTGAAGACTGAAATGACATAATTCTATGTAGTAGTTTGTTCTGCCTACTGCAGCTAGGAGGCACCTGTGAGCACCTGAGTCAGGTAAAGCCCCTCCTCTGCCCACAGCCCTCTAGGGCTCCCACCTCCCTCCAGATAAAAGTGCAAGTCCTCCCTGTGGCCTACAAGGTCCAGAAGGACCTCCCCTGTCCCCTCCCTGTCCTCATCTCCTCCCTCTCTCCCCCTCACTCACTCTGCTCCAGCCACACTGGCCTCCTGGCTGTTCCTCAACACAAGAAGCGTGGTCCTGCCCCAGGTTGTTCCTTCTGCCCAGAAAACTCTCTTCCTCCAAATATCCACACCACTTGCCCTTTATCTCCTTCAAGACTTTGCTCAAATATCATCAATGTCCCAATTTTACAGTGAGGCCTTTCTGAGCATCCTATAAAATTGCAACCCCCTCCATTCACACATGCACTTCACTCTCCTCTCTTCCTGCCATCCTTTTGGCATCTGTAAATTGGATTTATTCATTAATTGCCCTCTCTACCAACCTCTGTGGAACCTAAATTCCCTACAGGAAGGAATTTTATCTGTTTGCTTGGAGTCTTGTTTCCTGAATTCAACAAAGCGCTTTGCATATGGGGGGCTTAATAAAAATTTACTGGAAGAAAGGTGGCAGGGAGGGAGAAAGGAAGAAGCAAAATGTTACCTGTGCCAACAGGAGTGTAGTATCCACAGTTATCCCGGTTTCCAAGAGAAGACAGAAAACCAGATTTTTATTTGATGACTCCTAATGTTTACTTGTTGGCAAGAAATGAAATAATATGTGGACACAAAATGGCTATTCTTGTAGGACAAAAAATTGAACAGAGGCAATTATGTATGGCTTAGCACAAATCAAATGCTTAGCCCTGGGTTCTGCACAAAGTAGGTAATAAATTCTAGTGATCCTTAGCATTCAGGGGGACACTCATAATAATGAGCTCCTGCTTATATGAACTATGTCCCAAGCCACTGTTGTAGGGGCTATAATTTTCTCCTGCTTTTAGATGTGCATACTGAGCCTAGAGAAGTTAACTTGCCCAAGGTCACACAGCTTGTAGGTGGCACAGTGGGATTTGAAACCAGCTGACCAACTCAGGACCATGTTCTTAACTGCTGCTTCTGTAGACATGACACACAGAGAGTGTCCAGACACAGAGGGAGAGGAGAGCCCAGGGGCTAAGCCTGGTCTTTGAAGAGCCACACCCCCTCCCTTTCTATCCATAGACGCCCGACGGCATTCCCATCAAGCGGGACCCCCTCTCTTCTCAAAACAAAAATGGCATCTTGCCCTTGTCTTGGAATATCCCGGAGCTGGTCAAGTATGTCAGGCCCTCCAAGAGGGGGTTTGGGGCTCCCCCATCCCAGAAGAAGGAGCGGGAGGCTGCCAGGCCTGACCAGGTCACTCACCTGCTTTCCCCACAGCATGGGGCAATGGAAGATACGAGCCCACTATGAAGATTCGCCACAGCAGGTCTTCTCCACTGAGTTTGAGGTGAAGGAATATGGTAAGAGAAGGAGGGAGCCAGGGTGTGGGGCCCCATAATGCTGGGCCCAGGGCTGCCCCCCCACACACCAGTGTTATCTCTCCCCACAGTGCTGCCCAGTTTCGAGGTCCAAGTGGAGCCTGCAGAGAAATTCTACTATATTGATGACCCAAATGGACTGGAGGTCACCATTACAGCCAGGTGAGGGGCCAGGTGAAAGACCAGGTGAGGGCCAGGTGAGGATGAGGTGAGGGGCTGGGGATTCTGGGTCCTCATCATGGCCAGTGGAAATTTGGGGGGAGACTCAGCTTTTCAGGAGAGGAGAATCTGAGATTCTCCTTGCTGTGCAGGTTCTTGTATGGGAAGAATGTGGATGGAACAGCCTTCGTCATCTTTGGGGTCCAGGATGGTGACCAGAGGATTTCGCTGTCTCAGTCACTCACCCGTGTTTTGGTACCTGCCAGAGGCCCACCTGAACTTCCTCCACCCTGAACCCCTCCCTCTTCCTTTCTGAATCCCCTCTCCACCTGAGCCCCTCCCCATCTCTGAGCCCTCATTTCCTACCCCAGATCCAGGATGGCACTGGGGAAGCTGTGCTGAGCCGAAAGGTTCTGCTGGATGGAGTGCAGCCCTCTGAAAAGGAGGCCCTAGTGGGAAAGTCATTGTACGTGTCTGTCACCGTCATCCTGCAGTCAGGTGAGGTCTGGGCTGAAGGTGGAGGCTGGGTACCACCACGCAGTCCAGTCTGAGAGGGAGGCCCAACTGCGGTAGGAGGCCCAGTCTGAGGGAGGAGGCCCAGAACAAAGGTGGAGTCCAGTCTGATGGGGGAGGCCCGCTCAGAAGGGAGAGACCCTCAGTGAAGGTGCCCTGAGGGAGGACGCCCAGAATGAAGGTGGGATCGATCTGATGGGGAGGCCCAGTCTGAGGAGGGAGGTCCAGTATGAAGAAAGGGTCCAATCTGAGGGGAGAGGCCTGGTCCTGGAGGTAGCCCAGGAGCCCACCCTCACAGTTGGCTCCCTCAGGCAGCGACATGGTGGAAGCTGAGCGCAGCGGGATTCCCATTGTGACCTCCCCCTACCAGATCCACTTCACCAAGACACCCAAGTACTTCAAACCTGCCATGCCCTTTGACCTCATGGTGAGACCCAGGGCGAGGTTGCACCCCCCCCACCCCACTCCTGAGCATTGGCCATGCCTCTGGGTCTGCTGAACCCTCTCCACTTTCCCCTGTACCCACAGGTGTTTGTGACGAATCCTGATGGCTCCCCAGCCCGCCACGTCCCTGTGGTGACTCAGAACTCCGAAGTGCCCTCTCTGACACAGGATGATGGTGTGGCTAAGCTAATCATCAACACACCCAAGGAGTTGCAGCCCCTGCCCATCACTGTAAGTCTGCACCAACCACAGGACCCCACACCAGGGAAACAGAGGACTTTATTTGTACAGCAGGGTCCTAATGTTTGTACAAAGGGATCTTGTCATGTGCATAGTGGGGTCCTTTAATTTGCATAAATGGATCTTACCATTCACACAGAGATGTTTCATTTGCATAGAGAAGTTCTTGTTTGCACAGGGGGGTCCTGCCATCTGGATAGATGGTCCTCCTGCCATTTACACAGGGCCCTCCTGTCATTTGCATGTCTTTTTAAAAAATATATGTTTTTATTGATTTTTTTTAGAGAGAGATGAAGGGAGAGAGAGAAACATCGATTGGCTGCCTCTTGCACACCCCCTACTGGGGATCAAGCCAGCAACCCAGGCTTGTGCCGTGACCTGGAATTGAACCAGGACCTCTTAGTCCATGGGATGACACTCAATCCCCTGAGCCACAGCTGCCGGGCTCATGAGCATAAAGACCCTTGTGATGACATTGGATCCACCTGGATAACCTAAAATAGTCTCCCCATATCTAGACCTTAACTCAATCCCATCTGCAAAGTTCTTCTTGTCATAAAAATTACCATGTCCCCAGGTCCCGGGGATTAGGATGTGGACATCTCGGATAGACCAGCATGCATCCCTCTCTCCTTACTCAGGTACGCACAGTGAAGGATGGCATTCCGAGGGAACGACAGGCCACCAATACAATGCAGGCCCTACCCTACAGTACGATGGGCAACTCCAAAAACTACCTGCACCTCTCCATTTCCCACAAAGAACTCAAGCCAGGGGATACGCTCAATGTCAACTTTCACCTGCGAATGGACCCCAACCAGCAGAACAATATCCGATACTACACCTACCTGGTGTGTGGCTTCCTACAACTCCCAGGTCCCCCTTTCCTCTCCTCCAGCACTTCTGGAACCCTACCCCATTCCAGATCCCCCCATCCTCCCTCGTGTCTTCCTGATCCTTATGCCAATCTGTCCCCCCCAGATCATGAACAAGGGCAAGCTGCTGAAGGTGGGACGGCAGGTGCGAGAAGTTGGCCAGGACCTGGTGGTGCTGCTTCTGCCCATCACGAAAGACTTTATTCCTTCCTTCCGCCTGGTGGCCTATTACACGCTGATCAACAATGGCCGGTGGGAGGTGGTGGCCGATTCTGTGTGGGTGGATGTTAAGGACTCGTGTATGGGCAAGGTAAGCATTGCTGAGTCTCTGTGCCCATCTTGAGACTCTCTGCCTGGCCATTGCTTTCTCTGTCTCTGCCTCTCTCGATCATTCTGAATCCATTTCTCTCCCCTGTTTGTAGAGTTCCTGCTTCTGTCTTTTCATTTTCCATCTTGTTTTCTTTCCTGTCTTAGTCTCGGTATCTCTCTTGCTCCCAATTTTCTCTTTCCTTGACTTTCTACCTGGTGCTGGTTCTGTGTGTCTCCCTTCTTTTCCCTCTGTCTCCACCTTTCTCTCCTTCCAGACAAGACCTCTGTCCTCTACTGACCAAGTCTGGGACTTTGCTGGGCTAACTTCTCCCTCCTGCCCCGCCAATCTCCTCACAGCTGGTGGTGAAAAGTGCCCTAAAGGAGGAAAAGCAGCAGTATATACCAGGACAACAGCTATCGCTCAAGATCGAGGGTAACCAAGGGGCTCGAGTGGGGCTGGTGGCCGTGGACAAGGGCGTGTTTGTGCTGAATAAGAAGAACAGGTTGACTCAGAGTAAGGTATGTCCCCATGTTACTGAGGTTGGGTAAAAGATGGCAGAGGGGCAAAGATGGTGTTAGGTTGAGGTGGAAATGGCGCTGGGGAGAACCAATGATATAGGGTTGGGTGTGGGTTGAGTGTAGAAGTCAAAATGGACACAGACGTGGGGATGGGTTGAAGTTCAAGTTGCAGATGGAAATATGGATAGACACGGTCAACATTGGGGATGGTCAAGGCAATGGGCACAGCTGAGTCCAACAGTAGCACACTGTGAATCATCTACTGGGGAGTGTCTGAGACAGGGATGAGGACAGTGAGCTGAGCTTGGGTGGATGTATTGGTGAGTTGACGCAGGCACTGCTGGCCTGGCCTCCACCTGCCTTTAACCCCCTCCCCACCCTGCAGATCTGGGACACAGTGGAGAAGGCAGACATTGGCTGCACAGCAGGTAGTGGAAAGAACTATGCGGGCGTCTTTACGGATGCAGGGCTGGCCTTCCAGACCAACAAAGACCTGAAGACTGACCTGAGGTCAGGTGAGGAGTCAACCAGTGGATATCCAGGGAAGGGCAGCACTTCTGCCTTCCAGATGGGATCAGGAGACCCTGGGTTCAAGTCCTGCCTCTACCACCAACTAGCAAATTGCTCTCCTCTCTGAGCCTCAGATTCTTCATCTGTTAAATGGGGGCAATAACACTCCTACCTCATGGCTACTATGAGGAGTAAACCAATAACAGAGGGTTGGTGCTTAATCCATCTTGTTCCATCCACCTGCCCCTCAGATTTGGCATGCCCGAAACCAGCCGCTCGGCGACGCCGCTCGGCAGAGTCGCAGCTCACGGAGAAGAGGATAGGCAAAGGTGGGAGCCCTCATCCACCTCCCCGACCCTTGCACCTTGTCCACTGAAATCCCAGCAAAGTGGGAGGAGGAGGCCCTGAGAGGGGCATGACCAGGGTGTGTGCTCCCACAGCCGGTGAATACCAGAGCAAGGAACTGCGCAAGTGCTGCGAAGACGGCATGCGGGAGAACCTCATGCAGTACACGTGCCAGCGCCGGACACAGTTCATCCTTCATGACAAGGCCTGCATAGATGCCTTCCTGGACTGCTGCAACTACATCACCCAGCTGCGGCTGGAGCACACCCGGGACAGCGACCTGGAGCTGGCCCGGAGTGAGTCCTGGGGCCGGGGAATGCACTGCGTGGGGGGAAGTAAAAGTCTGTCATTGGCACTAGAAATTGTGTTGATCAGTGTGGTCCCACGAGCAAAGGCAAGTGTGAGTGGCCTTGTGAAACGGAGGGAAATTACGGTATCAGTTACAGGATGAAAAGTAATAGAAAACAATGCCTCTGCTTAAAACCTAAGGAGGATTGGGAAACTTGTTGGCAGACCAATGCAAAAATACTTATCTTTTTTCTTTAAACAACCTTTAACTTAGAGACAAACTGTTGTGCAGATTAAAAATCCTTTTCCCCTTGAACTGTTTGATGCCTCCACAGTTCTGAATAGTTTAGTGTGCATTTCTGGAAGCAAAGATATTCTCCTAAAAAACACAGCACAATGATCAGGATCAGGACATAAATGTTGATTCATTTCCACCATCTAATTCACAGGCTCCAGTCAAATTTTGCCACTTTTTTTTCCCTCTGTAGGAAAAGAATCCAGTTCAGAATCACACATTGCATTTGTGTGTCTGGTTGTGTCTCTTTAGTCTCCTTATATCTGTCCAAGCCCCAGCAACTCTTCAGTCTTTCTGTGACTTTCACATTCTTTTTTTTTTAAAAAATTAATTTATTTATTTTTGTTACAGATGTTTCAAATTTTCCCCCTCACCCTCCCTCTCCGCCATGTCCCCAACTTTGTTGTTCATGTCCATTGTTCATGCTTCTGTGGTTTATATCTCAACCAATACCCCCTCTTCTGGGGATTGTCAGTCTGTACCCCACTTCCACGTCTCTGGGACTACCCCATTCCTCAGACTGTTATGTTCATTGTATTCCACAGATAAGTGAGATCATATGATACTTGTCTTTCTCTGTTTGACTTGTTTTGCTTAGGATAATACTTTCCAGGTCCCTCCATGTTGCCTCAAAGGATAAGAGATCTTTCTTTCTTACCGCTGCATAGTACTCCATTGTGTATATGTACCACTGCTTTTTTATCCATTCGTCTACTGATGGACATTTGGGCTGTTTCCAGATCTTAGCTATTGTAAATAGTGCTGCTACGAACATGGGGGTACATATATTCTTTCTGATTGGTGTTTCAGGCTTCATAGGGTATAATCCTAGAAGTGGGATTGCTGGGTCAAATGGAAGTTCAATTTTTAATTTTTTGAGGTAACACCATACTGTTTTCCATAGTGGCTGCATCAGTCTGCATTCCCACCAGCAGTGCACTAGAGTCCCCTTTCCTCCACACCCTCGCCAACACTTGTAGTTTGATAACTTGTTGATGGCGGCCATTCTGACAGGTGTGAGGTGATACCTCATTGTTGTTTTAATTTGCAACTCTCTGATGATTAGTGATGTTGAGCATTTCTTCATATGTCTCTTAGCCATTTGTATGTCCTGTTTGGAGAGGTGTCTATTTAGTTCCTCTGCCCATTTTTTAATTAGGTTCTTTGTCTTTCTTTTGTTGAGTTGTATGAGCACTCTATATATATTGGTAATTAACCCCTTATGTGATATATCATTGGCAATTATGCTCTCCCATACAGTGGGTTGTCTTTCCATTTTGATGATTGTATCTTTTGCTGTGCAGAAACTTTTGAGTTTGAAGTAGTCCCATGTGTTCATTTTCTCCTTTGTTTCTGTTGACTTAGGTGATGTATCAGTAAAAATTCTGCTGCGTATGATGTCTGAAATTTTGTTGCCTACATTTTCTTCTAGTATTTTTATGTATTCATGAATTTAAGTCTTTTATCCATTTTGAGTTTATTCTTGTATAGGGTGTAAGTTGATGGCCTAGTTTCATTTTTTTGCATGTAGCTGTCCAATTTTCCCAGCACCATTTATTAAAGAGGCTGTCCTTACTCCACTGTATGCTCTTGCCACCTTCGTCAAATGTTAATTGAGCATATTGCCTTGGGTCCATTTCTGGGTTCTCTGTTCTGTTCCACTGGTCTATATGCCTGTTCTTGTGCCAGTACCAGGCTGTTTTGATTACAGTGGCTTTGTAGTAAAACCTTAAATCTGGTAATGTGATCCCTCCAACTTTGTTCTTCTTTTTCAAGATTGCTGTGGTTATTTGAGGTCTTTTTTGGTTCCATATGAACTTTTGAAATATTTGTTTTAGTTCTGTGAAGTCTGTCATTGGTATTTTGATGGGGATTGCATTGAATCTATAGATTGCTGTGGGTAGTATGGACATTTTAATGATGTTAATTTTTCCAATCTATGTGCTTCCACTTTTTTATATCTTCCTCTATTTCTTTTTTCAATAGCCTATAGTTTTCTGAAAACAGGTCCTTTATTTTTTTTTAAGTATTCTTTTTTCTTTTTTTTTAATCTTTATTGTTGAATGTATTACAGATGTTCCTCGTTTTTCCCCATTGACCCTCTTCTCCCCACTCCCGCCCCCCTCCCTCCCGCCTTTTCCCACACTGTTGTCTATGTCCCTTGGTTATACATATAAGTTCTTTGGTTTATTTCTTCCCACCTCCCAATCCCCTTCCCTTTGAGGTTTGTCAGTCTAGCAACCAATTTGTACTTCTTAATCCCTTCACCTTTTTCATCCATTCTCCCAACCCCCCTCCCATCTGGCAACCAACAAAATGTTCTCTGTATCTATGAGAAAGTTTTCGTTCTGCCTGTTCATTTGGTTTGTAGATTCAATTGCCGATAGATATGTATTCATTAACATTTTGTTTGTTCGTATATTTTATCTTTTTCTTCAAAAAGACCCTTCAACATTTCATATAATAATGGTTTGGTGGTGATGAACTCCTTTAACTTTTTCTTGTCTGGAAAACTCTTTATATGGCCATCAATTCTAAATGACAGCTTTGCAGGATAGAGTAATCTTGGTCGTAGGTTCTTGCTTTTCATCACTCTGAATATTTCTTGCCACTCCCTTCTGGCCTGCAAAGTTTCTTTTGAGAAATCAGCTGACAGCTTTATGGGAACTCCCTTGTAGGTAATTAATTGCTTTTCTCTTGCTGCTTTAATGATTCTCTCTTTGCCTTGAACCTTTTGCATTTTGATGATGATGTGTCTTGGTGTGGAACTCTTGGGGTTTATCTTGTTTGGGACTCTCTGTGCTTCCTGGACTTGTATGTCTGTTTCCTTTACCAAGTTAAGGAAGTTTTCAGCCATTATTATTTCAAATAGGTTTCTGATTTCTTGTTCTCTCTCTTCTCCTACTGGCGTTCCCAAGATACGAATGTTGGCACGCTTGAAGGTGTTTCAGAGGCTCCTTACACTCTCCTCATTTTTGTGGATTCTTTTTTCTTTTTTCTGTTCTGATTGGGTGTTTTTTGCTTCCTTATATTCCAAATCGATGGTTTGCTTCTTGGTTTTACCTACTCTACTGTTGAATCTGTGTAAATTATTCTTTATTTCAGTTAGTGCCTCCTTCATTTCTGACTGGTCCTTTTTTATGCTTCTCAGGCCCTCACTAAGTTCACTGAGGTTCTCACTAAGTTCATTGAGCATCCTTTTAAGCAGTATTTTGAACTCAGCATCTGTTAGGTTGCTTATCTCCATTTCGCTTAGTTCTTTTCTTGGGGTTTTGTTCTGTTCTTTCATTTGGGACCTGTTTCTTTGTCTCCTCATTTTGGCTGCCTCCCTGTGTTTGTTTCTGTGTATTACTTAATGAGAGTTATGGGGCTAGCTGAGATCAGATGCTGCTTGTTTGAAAGAATTTACGAAAACCTGAAGCAGGATCCAAGACAGGCCAATCCTATGGTTAAGCAACTGGCAACAGCTTGGGTGGGCCTGAAGCTGGGTGGGGCAGGGCCTCAGGGAATCACAAGGGCGGGGCAACCAGATATGGCAGCTGTCCACTGCCCCAAGCCTCTGACAGCATGTTTGTCCCGGATAAAGCCCCCTCTCCAGGCCTCACTCCAATGCAAAACAGTTCAGTTCTTCCCTGTGTGTATCTGGTGCCCCTCAAGCTGCCTCCCCTCCAAGCTTAGAGAGAGTGAATCTGATAAGTCCATGCACAGGCCCTTTAAGAGTTGCTGCCTGGGGCTTCAGCCGCATCAGCCTCCCTGAGCCTCAGTTCCTGCTGGTTTTCCAGCCAGAAGTTATGGGGATTCTCTTCCCGGCACTGGAACCATGAACGGGCGCCTCAGTCCTCAGGGAGGATTTTTTTTCAGCCGAGGTAGCCTCCTGATTTTTATCTGCCACACATGGGTGTGGGACCAGCCCCTCCGCTTCCACCCCTCCTACCAATCTTGATGTGGCTGCTCCTTTAATTCTGTAGTTATAGGACTTCCATTCAGCTTGATTTCAGGTGGTTTTAAATGATGGTTGTTCTTAGTTTAGTTGTAACATTGATGTGGTTGTGGGAGGACACAATACCGCGTTTACCTTCGCCGCCATCTTTACTAGAAGTCTAGGTCCTTTATTTCTTTGAATAAGTTTATTCCTTGGTATCTTAATTTTTTTGCCGCTATGTTAAATGGGATTTTTTTTTTTAGTTTCTATTTCTGTGAGTTCATCATTGGTGTATAAGAATGCCATCGATTTCTTGATGTTAATTTTGTATCCTGCTACATTGCCAAATTCATTTATTAAGTCTAGTAATTTTTTGATGGAGTCTTTGGGATTTTCTATGTATAGTATGTCATCTGCGAATAATGACATTTTCATTTCCTCCTTTCCAATTTGGATCCCTTTTATTTTTTCTTCCTGTCTGATTGCTGTGGCTAAGACTTCCAGTACTATATTAAATATGAGTGGTGAAACTGGGCATCCTTGTCTTGTTCCTGTTCTTAAAGGAAATGCTTTTAGTTTTTGCCCATTGAGTATGATGTTGGCTGTAGGTCTTTCATATATGGCCTTTATTATATCGAGATATGATTCCTCTATTCCCAGATTGCTGAGTGTTTTTATCAGAAATGGGTGCTGGATTTTGTCGAATGCTTTTTCAGCGTCTATTGATATAATCATATGATTTTTATCTTTCATTTTGTTTATGCAGTGTATCACATTTATTGATTTGTGAATATTGTACCAGTCTTGCATCCCTGGGATGAATCCCACTTGGTCATGGTGAATAATTTTTTTGATGTATTGCTGGATTTGATTTGCAGGCATTTTGTTCTGAATTTTGGCATCTATGTTCATCAGAAATAGAGGTCTGTAGTTTTCTTTCTTTGTAGTGTTTTTTTCTGGTTTTGGAATTAGAATTTTGCTGGCCTCATAAAAAGAGTTTGGAAGTCTTCCTTCTTGAATTTTTTGAACTAGTTTGAGGAGAATGGGTATTAGTTCTTCTTGGAATGCTTGGTAAAATTCCCCCGTGAAACTGTCCGGGCCTGGGCTTTTGTTTGCTGGGAGAGTCTTGATTACATCTTCAATTTCTTTTGTTGTTATTGGTCCGTTCAAGTTTTCTATCTTTCCCGGTTCAGTTTTGGGAGACTATGTGTTTCTAGAAATTGGTCCATTTCGCTTAGATTGTCAAATTTGTTGCTGTATAATTGTTCATAATATCTGTTAACAATCCTTTGTATTTCTGTGATGTCAGTTATTATTTCTCCTCTTTCATTTTTGATTTTGTGTTTTTGGGTTCTCTCCCTTTGTTTCTTGGTGAGTCTAGCTAAGGGTCCATCAATCGTGTTCATCTTTTCAAAGAACCAGCTCTTTGTTTCATTGATCCATTGAATTGTTTTGTTTTTTTTTTTGGTCTCCATGTCTTTTATTTCTGCTCTGATCTTTACTATTTCCTTCCTTCTACTTGCTCTGGAGTTTTCTTTTTGTTTGCTTTCTAGTTTTTTAAGTTGTGAGGTTAGTCTATTAGAAATTTTTTCTTGCTTCTCGAGGTAGGCCTGTAGTGCTATGTACTTCCCTCTCAGAACTGCTTTCGCTGCATCCCATAGATTTTGTGTTGTTGTGTCTTCATTTTCATTGATTTCCAGGAAATTTTTAATTTCTTCCTTGATCTTCATGGTAACCCATTCATTATTCAATACCATGCTATTTAGCCTCCATGTTTTCAAATGTCTTTGCATGTTCTTGTTGCAATTGATTTCTAGTTGCATGCCTTTGTGATCTTAGAAGATGCTTGATATGATTTCAATATTCTTGAATTTGTAGAGACTTAGTTTGTGCCCTAACATGTGGTCTGTCTTTGAGAATGTCCCATGTGCACTTGAGAAGAATGTGAATTCTGCAGTTTTGGGGTGTAATTTTCTGTATACATCTATTAAATCCATTTGATCTAGCGCTTCATTTAGAGTCTGTGTTTCCTTGTTAATTTTTTGTCTAGAAGATCTATCCAGTGATGTCAGCGGGGTGTTGAAGTCCCCTGCTATGATTGTATTGCTATTGATTTCTCCTTTGAAGAACTCCTAATTTTTAATATACTTTGGTGTTCCTATATTGGGTGCATATATGTTTACCAAGGTTATATCTGCCTGTTGGATAGATCCTTTCAATATTATGTAGTGGCCTTCTTTGTCTCTAGTTATGGCCTTCTTTTTGAAATCTACTTTATTCGATATGAGTATTGCTACCCCAGCTTTTTTTTGCTTTCCATTTGCTTGAAAAAATTTTTTTCCATCCCTTCACTTTCAACCTATGTGAGTCTTTTGTTGTGAGGTGGGTCTCTTGTAAACAACATATATGTGAGTCATGCTTTCTTATTCAGTCAACTACTCTGTCTTTTTATCGGAGCATTCAAACCATTCACATTTAAGGTGATAATTGATATGTACTTATTTATTGCCATTTTTGTTTAGTGTGGTTCCATTTTTCTTCCTATTGGTTCTACTAATTACAGCAGTCCTTTTAGCATATCTTGCAGTGCTAGTTTGGTGTTAATATATTCCCTTAGCCTTTTTTTTTTTTTTTTTTTGTCAGGAAAGCTCTTTATTTGACCTTCTATTTTGAATGATAGCCTTGCTGGATAGAATAGTCTTGGATTCAGATCCTTATTTTTCATGTCCTTGATTACTTTATGCCACTCCCTTCTGGCCTGTATTGTTTCTGTTGAGAAGTCAGCTGAGAGCCTTATGGGGTTTCCTCTGTAGGTAACCTGTTGCTTATGTCTTGCTGCCTTTAGGATTCTCTCTTTGTCTTTAATTTTGGGCATTTTAATTACTATGTGTCTTGGTGTGGGCCTGCTTGGGTTCTTCTTACTTGGGGCTCTCTGTGCTTCTTGAACTTGAATGCCTTCTTCCTTCACCAAGTTAGGAAAGTTTTCTGTCACTATTTCTTCAAATATATTCTCTAACCCTTGGCTATTTTCTTCCTCTTCGGGGACTCCTATGATGTGAATGTTGTTACATTTCCAGTTGTCCCACAGTTCTCTTAAGCTATCTTCCTGTTTTTTAATTGTTTTTTCCTTTTGGTTTTCTGATTGGTTGATTTTTTCTACCTTGTCTTCTAATTCTTTGTCTATTCTTCTAATAGCTTTGTCTATTCTGCTGGTTAGTCTTTCCAATGTGTTCTTTATTTCTGCTATGTCATTCTTCATTTCCACTTGGTTGGTTTTCAGTGTTTCTATATCTTTACTCATGGTGCTGATGTCCTTACTCATGCTGTTGAGCTTCCTCAAGATCATGGCCCTGAACTCTACCTCTGATCATTTGCTTAGCTGAATTACATTGATCTCATCTTCGATAGAGTTCTCTTGTTCTTTCATTTGGGATTTCTTTCTTTGTTTCACAATTTTGGCTATTTCAGTGGGTTTTTGAACCCGCCCAATTTTCCCTGTGGTGTTGGTGTTCTGCTGTTTGTGGCGCTCTCTACTGGGTTTGGATGAGCCTGGGTGGGCCCATGTTAAACACCACTGTCAAGTCTTACTTTCCTGGGTAGATTTGCAAGCCTAGGAAATGTTCAATTATCCTCTAGCTTTTTCCTGGTGGCTAGTAGTCTCAGTTACTCAGTGCCTTGGAATGTAGCCCTGGTGTTCTGCATAAGAGGATTTCCAGAGTGTGGAATAGATACTGGTTATTAATGAGCCTCAATTTGCATATCTTTGCCTCAACTGGGAAAGACTGAATCTCGGAGGCGGCGGGGGGGTGGGGGGAAGTGCTGCTGCTTTTCCCCACAGCTCGGGGAAGGAGCACACTGGCCACCGTCCTTTGTGGCTGCAACTCAGCAAAAACTCTGAGTGCTCTCCAAACCCCAGGTGTCCCCACAGATTTCCAGCCCAGTCTGCCCTCTCTCTGCCGTAGCTCTCAGGTGAGTGGCTATGGCTATTTTAGTGCTCTGTCCTGGCTCTCTGAGCTGTGGAGCGGGCTTGGTCTTTATTCCCCTAGGGTGCTGCTCACAGTTAAGACTGCTGCTGTCCGTGGACTCCCAACCTGCCACCCTCTCATACCTCCACAGATCCAACCAGTGTCCCTGGTTGTATGGTCCTATCCTGCTGCTTTCCTGTTGCTTTGTTCCTTGGATTTGTCTTTATTTTAGTTGTAATTCCCGTTCGGTCCTGGGATATCATCTGGGTAGCTTCTACTCACTCCGCCTCCATTTTCACATCCTCTATGCCTATCTTGTGCATAGCTGGGTTGCACAGACCTTTCTGGTGCCCCTGCACCCTGCAGGTCCCACGGGTAACTGGATCGCACAATCCCTTTGGGGACCTGGCTCTATGCCTATGTTATGGGCTGCTGGGTCGCACAGGCCTCTCTGGTGCACCCGCACCCTGCAGTTCTCGTGGGTGGGCAGCTGGATCGAACCAGTCTCTCTGGGGCTCCGGCTTCCCACTGCTCTTGTGGGCTACTGGACCTCACAGGCCTCTGTGGAGCCCTAGGTCCCACCGCTGGAGGCTGGGGAGTGCTGCTGCCCCGTGGGACTCAACTCCTGCTCAGTTTTTGCTGTAGTTTTTGGGGATGGGTCTCAGCTGCTGGTCTGTGCTTCTGTTGCCTGGGGATGGATGTCTGCTTTCCAGCCTCTGTTGCTGGGGATATATCTTGACTCTCATCAGGCTGCTACCATGGGGGATGGTGCAGGGCTCCGGGCTGTCTGTGGCTTCCGCGACCAGCACCTTGGGAGCTCCACTACTGTGCACTGGTCTGTGTTGACACAGAGTGTCCACTGGTCCTATGGTGTCAGGTGGGCTGGTGGCAACCACTCTTCAAGGTCCCCATCAAATCAGGAATCTCTCTGCTCACCTGGTCACTCTCAGGACCAATGTAACTTCAGACATAGCAGGCACTGTGCCTGGGGTCATGACACCTTTAGAAGCTTACATAGATGCTTTTGTTGCTTTGAAAATCAGGGGAAGTGAATATAATCTGGCCTGGGTTATCTTTGCCTTTATATCAGCACAGTTGTAAGATATGACTTTTAATATTTATATGGAGGCAGGAACCCTCAAAGGCAATATACCCCAAAAGTCATCATGTAATCGTGTGTGTTTCGATGCTAGGAACCCCTCAGGGAACAGCAAGTGGGTCTGTTCTAAACCCAGATTGCCCCTCACCTTTCCAGGTGACCTGGATGAGGACCTTATTCCGGAAGAAGACATCGTTTCCCGAAGCCAGTTTCCTGAGAGCTGGCTGTGGACCATTGAGGAGTTAAAGGAGCCAGAGAAAAATGGGTAAAGCTGAGATACCTCCCATTTCAACCCACCCCCAGGCCAGTTCCTACCAACACCCTAGACCAGATCATTTAATTTGCATGCACCCCAACCTCCTCTGTTTTCTGGAATTACAGTGGAACTCCTCAACCCAACCTAGAAAAACCAAGAGGTGGGCTACCTCCATGTGCTCACCCCTAGTTCCCCTCTAATCTGTTCCCTGGGGCCCTTCCATATCCACTCTTCCACTCCACCACATTTTCTCTTAATGCCCCCATTTCTCTTCCCTCTAGAGTATCCACGAAGATTGTGAAGGTGTTTTTGAAAGACTCCATCACCACCTGGGAGATTATGGCTGTGAGCTTGTCCAATAAGGAAGGTGAGAGTTGGGGCTTCGTTCCCAAGAGGCAGTCCCCCAAGGCCCCTGGGCATTTTCTTTTTCTCATCCATCCCAAAGATCCCCTGTTTCTTGGTGACTGACACTCCACCCTCAGGTTACTGGGTAGGCGGTAGAGTGCATCAGTGTCTAGACTGTGGGTGTCAGCGCTTTTTATTTTTTAAATTAATTTTAGTTTTAAAGCAGCTTTACATTCACAGCAAAATTGAGCAGAAAATCCCTGGCCTGTGTGGCTCAGTTGGTTGGATCATCATCCCATAGTGGTGGTTCCCAATCAGAGCACATACCCAGGTTTCAGATTCGATCCTGGGTCAGAGAGAGTGCAGGAGGCAACTGATTCATGTTCCTCTTACACTGATGCTTCTCTCTCTCTTTCTCTCTCTCTCAAATCAATGTTTTAAAAATCTATGCCAAAATTGAGCAGAAAGTACAGAGATTTCCTATATACCCTCTGCCAGCCCCCTGCACAGCCTCCCCACTGTCAACATCCTCCACCAGAGTGGTGCATTTGTTATAATCAGTTGTGATCACCCCAAGTTCATAGGTGACATTAGGATTCACTCTTGGTGTACAGTCTATGGGTTTGGTCTAATGTATCATGACATGGGTCCACTACTGTAGTATCGAACAGAATAATTCGCAACCACAAAACTTTTAAGGAGGTGATGTTGACATAATAGTGGATAAAGCGATTAAGAAAAAGAAAGAAGCAGGATGAAATGGGGTTTGAAACATCAGTGGTCAGATTGTGAAGCATGATAAAAAGGTGTACCTGGCCCCTGGCCACTGACAGCTGGGGTGAGACCCTGGGGAGCTCTAGCTAAATATAGATGGTGTGTAGCAAGGCCTGGAGTGGGTGAGGAAAGTAACACATGCACTTTTAGTGCAAAATCTGAGTGGGTGCCAGAAAGTCAGTCAAGATAAATAACATTTCACTGCAATAATTTTTGTTTTCTTTTTAATCCTCACCTGAGGATATTTTTCCATTTATCTTCAGATAGAGTGGGAGGGAGGGGGAGAGAGAGACAGAGAGAGATTCATCAACTGGTTGCCTCCCTTGACTGGAATTGAACCCATGACTCTTTGGTCCGCAGGCCAACTGTCTAACCACTGAGCCAAACCAGCCAGGGCATGAGCAGTAGTTTTTAAAAAATAAAAGTGAATGCAAAAAAAAAAAAAATCTACAATGAATAAAATATCCAAATTTTAAACAGAGACCAGAGCCATGCCAAACTATATTGGAGTTTGAGGCAAGAGGAAAACAAGGTGTGACCCATATGCATGTTCTATGTGTATTTTAAAGATTAAATATTAAAACATTAAAAAGCAGGTGTATTAAAACTCACAATATTAAGTGTAAATATTTTATTTATACCACAGTCAGAATTTATTATACTGTATTATCATTTTGTTTAGTTATAAAATATTTAAAAATTACACTTTATTATCATAGTACTTTTCTGGCTTCAAGATTTAAAAATTCTGCTTCTTTGTTTATCTTATTTTTAATGGAAGGAATTGAAATTTTCTGGCAATTTCTCTTTTTTAAAAAAATGCTTTTTAGAGAGAGTGGAAAAGAGGGAGGGATGGAGGGGGGGAGAGAGAGAGAGAGAGAGAGAGAGAAACATCAATGTGAAAGAGACACATAAATTGGTTGCCTCTCGAGTTCGGACCCAAAACCCAGGTACATGCCCTTGACTGGGAATCAAACCCGAGACCCTTCAGTCAATGGGCTGACACTCTAACCACTGAGCCAAACCGGCCAGGGCAAGATGTCAAACATTTTAATGATTTATTTCTATTTGTACTAAGCCTTCAAAATCTGGTATGCATTTTATACTTAGAGTGCATCCCAATTAGGATTCGAACTTTTCATTGGAAATACTTTTATCTCTATTTTAGTATTCATAAAATTTGTAGTTGAAAAAGATTGGCATACCTGAGTTGTTCCAAACATACTTTAAAAGGTTTTCCAATCACTGAATCAAGCATCATTTTGTAAATTGAAATATAATTTACATTGCATCAAAGTTACCAAGTTACCCTTGGAAAATATATGATTTCAGTATATTCACAAGCACCAGTTTTAAAGTTTAAATCTGAGTTAACTAAAATGAAATAAAAGTAGAAATCCAGTTCCCATTTGAGCTAGCCACATTTCAAGTCTCCAGTGACCACATGGGGCTTGGGGACACAGTTTTGGGGAGCACAGATAGGGGCCCTTCAGTTAGGCTGGCTCACTTTCCTCCTCCACATCTATGGATGAGTAAAATGACAAAGAAATCACTAAATCACGGCAACTGCCAGCCACCACTATCATCTGTAATTCATCACCATTAACACTGTTTAGTTTATGGGCTTCTGCAAAGACAGGCTGAGCTCAAGACAGCTCCCGTGGTCAGGGGTAAGCCCTGAGACCCTGAGAGGAGCAGGAACTTGAAACTGAATTTGGACCCTAGCCATCCTGTCCACCCTCTACCCCTGACACTCATGTTCTGTTCTCCCTGGGCAGGGATCTGTGTGGCTGACCCCTATGAGGTGAGAGTTATGCAAGATTTCTTCATTGACCTGCGGCTGCCCTACTCTGTTGTGCGTAACGAGCAGGTGGAGATCCGAGCCATCCTCTACAACTACCGGGAAACAGATAGGCTCAAGGTGGGTCCTTGGAGCAGCAGAGGCACGAAGGGAGTCTTGGAGAGGAGGACCATGGCACATGCCCCTGACCTGATATTCTCCCTGGCAGGTGAGAGTAGAAATGATCTACAATCCGGCCTTCTGCAGCGTGGCCACTGCCAAGAAGCGTCACCAGCAGATTGTATACATCCCTCCTATGTCCTCGGTGGCTGTGCCTTATGTCATTGTGCCCCTGAAGATTGGCCTGCAGGAGGTGGAGGTCAAGGCCACTGTCTATGAGTTCTTCTTCAGCGACGGTGTAAAGAAGACTCTGAAGGTCGTGGTGAGTCCTTGGGGTACCTGCTGACTCTTGTCCTTCAGGAAAGACTGCTCTCCTCGTGCTGTCAACTCAGTTTTGAGCTCCAGGCTGAGACACTAATACTGTCTAATGTCCAGCTTAGGAAAGTTAGGAGTCCTAGAAGTTTAAAAGTAGGGCCATGATCAGGGTGAGACAAGTGAGGCATTCCTCTTGGGCACCAAATTTTAAGGAAGTGCCAGAAACCTCAGCAATAAAGATAAATAATATATAAATAATATATATTTCTTTCATTAAAATATATTTTAAGCCCAGCTGGCATGGCTCAGTTGGTTGAGCATTGTCTGGTACATCAAAAAGTTACTGGGTCAATTCTGGTCAGGACACATACCGGGTTTCAGGCTCAATTCCCAGTAGGAAGCATGCAGGAGGCAGCTGATGGATGCTTCGCTCTCTCCCTCTCCCTTCCTTTTCTCTAAAATCAATAAAAACATATTTTAGAAAAGGATAAGTGAGTGCCCCCACAGACGTGCCTGTGAGGATTTTTTTTATGATTAATTTTTCCCTAAATTGTTAAAGTAGTTTAAAAAAACCTTGAATCGTCAAAAAGCAAACGTGTTAAAACAGTGTGATTTCATGTTGAAATATTTTATTCGTAACCAAACCAGAATGTTATAATTTTTCTTTCCTGGCTTTAAAGGAAGCAAATTCATATTTTTTTCAATTACTTTAAATTTCTGGAATAATATTATCATTAAAAAATACATTAAAGTATATACTTAGGGGCACACATTTTTTCTTTTGCCCTGGGCCCTAGTATGGCCCAGCATAGGCACTGGTAAGAAAGAAAACCCAGTATCGCTGGAACCTGCGCAGCCCTTCCCAATTCTGCACTCACTGACACTGGTAGCTTGAAATCCATCACAGTGGATATTTACACCAAGGAAATTGGCAGCATTGCAAATTAGGGTTTTTTTCTTCCTGGCGAGCTGGATGTTCAATACTTATCAGCACACTAAGGGAAGAAACTCGATCTGCAAAGAAAAATCTGGGATTTATTATCAGGTAAAAGGAGAATGGCTTCTGGGGAGGCAAAATCATCCATTATCCACAATAAAGGTTTATCTGAAGATATATGAGAACTTGAATTGGGTCTTTGATACTAATTAAAATAGCCCCTAACACTGTCCTAAGTACTTATGCACAGCCTTTTATTTTATTTACTTTTTTTTTTTTTTTTTTTTATCCTCACCCGAGGACATTTTTCCATTTTTTGTTCAGGTAGAGTGGGAGGGAGAGAGAGGAACAGAGAGAGAGAGAAACATCGATGTGAAGGGACACATCGAGTGGCTGCCACCCGCACGACCAACCAGGGCCGGGGACAAACTGCAACCGAGGTATGTGCCCTTAGCGGGAACCGAACCCGGGTCTCTCTGGACCACAGGCCGACGCTCTAACCGCTGAGCCAAACCGGCCAGGGCTTATTTACTTTTTTATCCTCACCTGAGGACATCTTTCCATTTTTTGTTCAGATAGAGAGGGAGGGAGAGAGAGAGAGGGAAAGAGAGAGAGAGAAACATCGACGTGAAAGGGACACATCAAGTGGCTGCCACCCGCACAACCCAGTCAGGGCCAGGGACAAACTACAACCGAGGTACATGCCCTTAGTGGGAACCAAACCCAGGTCTCTCTGAACCACAGGCCGACGCTCTAACTGCTGAGCAAACTGGTCAGGGCTATTTTATTTATTTTAATCATTTGTTTTAAAAGTCAACTTTAGTCCTGGTCAGTGTGCTCAGTGGTTAGAGTGTCATCCCATGTACCGAAGGGTATCAAGTTCAATTCCCAGTCAGGGCACATACTCAGATTGTGGGTTTGATCCCCAGTCGGGGAGAGTGTGAGTGGCAACCAATCAATGTTTCTCTCTCATATCAGTGTTTCTCTCTCTCCCTTTCTCTCTCTCTAAAAATCAATAAAGACATATCCTCAGTGAGGATTAATAAAAATAATTAATTAGTTAATTAATTAAACTTTTAATTTAATGTTTTCTTTTTGTATTTTATTTCATTTGCTATTTTTAATTATTGTGTTTAATTTTATTTTTAAATTTATTTTACTTTTTAATTTAATTTAATTTTTATTTTATTTAACTTATTGAGAGGCACTGGGTTAAGCATAGACTCTAGATCCAGACTACCAGGCTCATACTGCAGTTCTGGTCTACTAGCTGTGTGACTCTGGGCAAGTTACTTCACCTCTCTGTTATCCAGTTTCCCTATCTTTATAAGTTTGTGTGTCTTGTGTTTTGTTTTAAGATTTTTAAATTGATTTTTAAAGAGAGAGCAAAAGAGAAGGAGAGAGAGAAACCAATGTGAGAGCAACACATCCCTCGGCTGCTTCCTGCACGCCCCCTACAGGGGATTGAGCCCACAACCTGGGCATGTGCCCTGACTGGGAATTGAACTGGCAACCTTTTGGTGTGCAGGATGATGCCCAGCCAACTGAGCCACACTGGCCAGGGCCAGTTTACCCATCTTTAAAATGGGAATGATAACATTGGCACCCTATTGAAAAGATTAGATGAGTTAACCTGAATAAAGAAAGTTTCTAGGCACATAGGAAGATTTCTAAAGTCTTTGTCATTTTATTATTAATTTATAATTTTGTTACTGAATTGCACAACAGTGTGAGAGATAGATGTTTCTATTGCCACCTCCTTATAAGGAAGGAAGCTGAGGCACAGAGATGTTAAGTAACTAGCTCTCGATCACACAGCTAAGACAGGTGGATGCCATCATGCCTATGCTATAGTAATCCCCAGAACAGTACCCTGCTAACCAGCTATTGTTCTCTCTGTCCTTTTTATTCACCTGACTCCTCCTTACCTCAACACTGTCCAGCCAGAAGGAATCAGAGTGAATAAAACTGTGGCCGTTCGCACACTTGATCCAGAAAACCTGGGCCAAAGTGAGTCAGCTGCAGGAGAGGGGTGAGGCCCGGGTGGCGATGCAGGGAATGGTGAAGGAGGCCGGTGCCAAGGGTGTTTCCCATTCAACTGACAGACGGTGAGCAGCGCGAGGAGATCGAGGCTGCAGACCTCAGTGACCAAGTCCCAGACACAGAGTCGGAAACCAGGATCCTCCTGCAGGGTGAGATGCTCTTGGTCCAACCCATGGGGCCCAGAAAGGTGTGGGAGCCATGACCCCTGAGGAGGGAGCCCAGTTCCATCTACTTCTGGGAGTATTTATGATGTCTTTCTCCTTCACTTTAGCTAGAACAGTCTCTCCTTGATCTGTTCATAGAAGGCTCCAGGCAGTATTTAGTTCAGCAAATAACTTCTGCTGACAAAAGTTTAAATGAGAAGGGATAGAATTCAAGAGCAGAAATTCTGGAACCAATTGCCTAGGATAGAGGACTGGGGCGAGAAGACACAGGAAGGAGCTAGAAAAGCACCTTGCATCCTGTGAGCTGTTAGGTTTCGGGTAGATACTCGGTTTCCTCATCTGTGATGAAGGCAAATGTATCTGTATCTAACAGTTGTTGGGAAAATTAAATGAGATACTATATATAGTGTTCTTTTAGAAGAGAGCTTGGCAAACAGCATTAAGCATGATAGAAGTAATCATGACAGCTGTTCCTGAAATTATTTTACTACTGGTGGAAGAAGAGGACCCAGGGACAAACCCCCCTTCAGTAACATGCCTCCAGCCTCCAGCTGTCCTTGACTCTGGCCCTGGCCCATTGGAACCTGGGAAAGCCGAGGGCAGCCCCCACCCTCCTCACCCCATAGTGGGTCTTGATCCTTGAACACCACCCTTCCTCCTGGCTGCAGGGACCCCAGTGGCCCAGATGGCAGAGGATGCCATTGATGGGGAGCGGCTGAAGCACCTCATTGTGACGCCCTCGGGCTGTGGAGAGCAGAACATGATTGGAGTGACGCCCACAGTCATCGCGGTGCATTACCTGGACCACACGGAGCAGTGGGAAAAGCTTGGCCTTGACAAGCGGCAGGAGGCCCTGGAGCTCATCAAGAAGGGTATGTCCCCTTCCCCTCTTGGAGACCACCACTCTGGGGCCCCTCTGAGCACTCTCCTCTGAGATTCCACCCCTCTTGAGGCCCTGCCCTTCCTCTGAGACCACCTTCTCTCCCCTCTTTGGGACCCTGGCCCCTCTGAGCTCCCTCCCCCACTGAACCCCCTTGAGGACCCTTTCCTCTCTGAAGCCCCTCTCCACTGAGAACTCCTTACCGCTCCTCAATCTGATCCCTGCACCCTTTCAGAGTCCCTCCCCCCTTTAAGCTCCCCTCTCCTCCAGACATCCCTCCTGGTCCAGAGCCCCCTCTTTTCTCTCTGAATCCCTGTCTCACCCGTCACAGAATTCTTGTCCCCTCTCTAAGCCTCTCTCCTCCCTGACATACCCACACCAGCCGCTGCCTCCACTGGTGACACTTCCCTCTTTCCTCGTCCCTGCAGGGTACACCCAGCAGCTGGCCTTCCGGCAAAACAACAAGGCCTTTGCAGCCTTCCTAAACCGGCCATCAAGCACCTGGTGAGCCTGCACCTCCTGAACAGGGCCTGGGTCCCAGCCTGGGGTGGTCTAGGCTAGCCTCCCTCACACAGCCCTGTGCTATGCGAGCCCTCCACCTGCAGAGTCAAGATGCCCGCTGTCAGAGTGGTCCTTAAGCACTATCTGCAAGCAGCACTGGGTCCTGAACCCTGGCATGGAAAACGGGGCACACCTGAGCAGGCCCTGCCCCTCTCTGCTCATTGTTTGATTGAGATGGCAGCCTCTGGATCCCAGAGCCAATTGGCTCATGTTCATGTCCACCCCCAGGCTGACAGCCTACGTGGTCAAGGTCTTCTCCCTGGCTGCCAACCTTATTGCCATCGACTCTGATGTCCTCTGTGGGGCTGTCAAGTGGCTGATCCTGGAAAAGCAGAAGCCTGATGGAGTCTTTCAGGAGGATGGACCTGTGATACACCAAGAAATGATTGTAAGAGGCAGGGATTTAGGGCAGTCTTGCAGAGAGGAGCCCCGAAGTGTCACAGCACGGACGGGAGAAAGACTCCACCTGCCATGTGCCCAGTCCCCTGCATAGGAGCGGACAGAGAAATAAAGGAGCCAAGAGTGACACTTTTTTGCAAAAACCAGAGACCTCAGAGTCCAACACAAAATGAAAGTTCCCTGGGTCCCCGTTGTTTTGAAAAACAAAAAACAAAATTGAGAACTACTTAGAATTGTGGTTCTCAAACTGTGGTCTTTGGGCCAACAGCATCAGCTGCAAGCTTCTTACATTATCGGGCTGGAACCCAGATGCACTTTATCAGAAACTTTGAGGGTGGGGCCAAGGAACTGGAGTTGTAATAAGCCCCCCAACCCCAGGTGATGTTGTTGTGTGCTCAAGTTGGAGAACCACTGCTTCAGCCTGACCTTTTGGGCTTCCAGTCTCCCAGCCTTCCCCCCTCTTCACACTCCATCTGAACTGGTTGGAGCCTTGCTCTGCCAGGCACAGAGCCTTTGCACACGCTGTTCCCACTGCTTGGCATGCTACCTCTATCCTCTTTGAGACTCTGGGGAGAGACCCAGCCTTGCCCTGCCTCACTCATCCTACAGGGGGTTGGTTGGCATGTGGGGACACACTGGTGACTCCATCCTTACTTCTTGCTCCACACCCTAGGGTGGCGTCAGGAATGCTGAGGAGAAAGATGTGGCCCTCACGGCCTTCGTTCTCATCGCGCTGCAGGAGGCTAAAGATATTTGTGAGGAACAGGTCAACGTAAGTGTGCCCTGTCTCCCCCTCCTTCCCTCCCCTACCCAGGCACAGCAACCTTGGAGGTTCTATAATTGCCACATCTGCTTTGTTTCGGGATTTTGAGATTGGATTGTTTGAACTTTAACTTTCCAAGTAGAGAACTTCAGGATCTCAGCTTCATCAGCTGCATCACCCTCCATGGGACCCCAGAAAAGAGATGGAGGGGAGAAGGCTGTTACCTTTAATGGCCAAGAGGAACCCAGGCCTTGCTGGTTCAAACCTTGCAGATTTGAAATAAATTATGGTAGAAAAAAGACAGCCCTGGGGCTGGGGAGTCAGACAGATCTGAATTTAGATCATAACTCTCAGGCACTTCCCCTCACTGGGCCTCAGTGTGTGCATCTGTAAAATGGGTATAATAATATTTGTATTTTTAGAACTTTCTGAGTTGTTCTAGATGTAACACACATGTGATTTACATTATACAAAAATACAGGATGGTGCAAAAGTAGGTTTACAGTTGTGAGTACACACAACCTGAGTTTATTCTTGTGTAATTATTTATTAATTATTGTAGTATTTTCCATATGAACAACTATAAACATACTTTTGCCCCACCCTGTCAATGGGGGAATTATTTTAAGAATCTAAGAATTTATCAAGTGCAAAGATGAAAGTGGCCTTGGGGATTCTACCATCATGCTTTGTTCCTCCCTCCTGTGTCTTTCATTTTCTTCTTGCCCAGTAATTCAGCTTTCCTGCCACCCAGCCTGTCTGGCAGAAAATAGCTGCTTTCCTTGGGGAGATAGCCAGACCAAGGCTTGAGCTTCCAGATTCTCAGGGAAGGATTCTGATTGGCTCAGCCTGGGTCAGGTAATCACTTCTGGACCAATCAGCTGAGACCAGGAAGTAGGTCTTCCTGGGCAAATATGATCGTTTCCACTGTGGCCATGTGAATGAAAGGAAAGAGGAGAAGTCCCTACAAAAGTCAACAGTAAATATGGGAGAGACAGAGAACAGGCAAAAGGATTAGCTTCTATTACAGCATAGTGACATTGTCTACTATAACACAACAACCTTATAACAGAATATAGCATAGGCCGTGGAACCAGACTGCTGGGGTTCAAATAAAGAGCTTGCTGGAATTAGCACGAGAAAACCAATGGTTAATATTCCAGAAATATTGCAAGTTGGTTGTTGAATGCAATTGTTATTAAAAATTAAATTATATAAACTTACATTTAAATAAATTAGACTAACCACTACACATAAAAACAAAGGTAGCAGCCCTGGCTGGATAGCTCAGTTGGTTGGAGCATTGTCCCATCTTGCCAGTTTGATCTCCAGTTGGGGCACATGCAAGAAGCAACCAATGAATGCATAGATAGGTGGAAAAACAAATCAATGTTTCTCTCTCTCTCTTTCTCCCTAAAAATCAGTAAAGAAAAAGAACGACAACAAAGGTAGTAAACACTCAAAACTAATCATTTCTTAGTTATTTTACTACCTTTTATCATTATCCATGCTCTTAAGGTATTTATATCTGTTGTACCTATATGGTGGACATACTATATATAATCTCTTTCCAGTTCTACAGTCAGTGACTCCATGTTGGTAAGTTGAAATCGGCAATGGTAGTATTTACACTATGGAAATCAACAAACACTACAAATCATGTCTGCTTCTGCACTTCATCTCTCTGGGTCTCAGCATTCTCATCTGCACAATAGGGATAATGATGAAAATAAAAACTACCTCATAGGATTTTGAAGTAAAATAAGTGGATATGTGACTAGCACATAGTAAATGTTAGCTATGATGATAATGATGGTTAGATAGTAGGTGGACCCAGTGGTGTGCTAACCCTGGCTCATTCTAGCTCATGAATGCCTATTCGGGACATCTCTTTCCCACTCCGTGTTAAGGTATGTCACACTGGTAGCTTTAAATTGGCCATACTGGGAGTATTTACACTACAATAATTAGCAATCAAGAAACTAGCTGCTGCCCCTGCACTGACTAGATAGCTGGCTATTAACATTTACTAGCACACTGGGTGTACAGACTGTACCAGGCACATGATAGGTACTCACCAACAAAGCAGTTCATGGGGCTAAAATGTCTGGGAAACCCTCAAATATAGACAGATTCAAGACAGATATGTCCCAAGGACAGAAATCTTGTGCCCAGGAAGTGGTGATTAAGTGATCCTTGCCAGCTCTCTGTGACAACGATGCCCACCTGACCAGAGTACCCAATCTTTTTTCTCATAGAGCCTGAGGGGCAGCATCAAAAAGGCTGGAGACTTCCTTGAAGCCCACTACAGGAACTTGAAAAGAGCATATACTGTGGCCATTGCTGGCTATGCCCTGGCCCAGCTGGGCAAGCTGGAGGAGCCCCTCCTCAGCAAATTTCTGAACACAGCCACAGGTGAGAGGCAGCCTGGCAGGGTAAGGGAAGATGCATGGCTGGGGTTTGAAGGTAGCCATCTTAAGCTGGGTTGCATGGCTCCAAGCTGAGCTGGCATGGATCACACTAAGCTGCGCTGGGGTGGGTGGCTCTAGGTGTGAAAAGTCCTCATTGTAAGTGACACAAGAAGGTCCACTGCATTATTAAATAAATATTTATTGAGTACTTGCTATGATCCAGAAGCAGGGACATGGGCTCTGACATCAGACACTTTACAGTTCAAATTTAAATCCCACTCTGCCACATTCTCACTGTGTGCCCTTGTACAGTTTACTTCATTTCTGTGGACATTGTGTATAAAATGATACCTATATCATAGGATGGCTGCGAAGATTAAATGAATGATGCAGGTAGAAGAAGGTCTAGCACATGGTAAGAGATCCAGCACTGATGTTGTTATTGCCTTCAGTACTGTTAATAACATTATCATTATTTCAAGGGTAATTAGGATTAGATAAGATAAGGGCAGAGGGGTTTTAGCACAATGAGTAGCACATAGTGAGCACTCAATCATTGGTTCCAGTGATGACACCTTATCAAGTTTATGGGCACTTCCGTAACATATCTGGATGTATACTGTTTAACACAAAGAAGTTTGTTTTTTGCTGTGTACTAGCATGGTGTGGGTATCCCAAGTTGTGGACAGCTCTCCTCTATACGGTGATATAGGGACCCAGGCTCTATCTTTTCATGGCTGTGCCACTTCAGGGCCTTGGAATTCATTCTATCCAAGCAGAAGGGGAATCAGTCAGGAAGACTGTGCAAGGGAGGTGGACTAGGCATGGAAGGGACCCTGTCAATTGTCATGCGCATTCCATTGGCCAGAGCTCAGTCATGTAGCCATACCTACCTCCAAAGGCATCTGGGAGATGTAGCTCAACTCTGTGCCCAGAAAGAGGAAGGAATGGTTCTTGGTGACAGTCTCTGCAGTAAGTACTTTCTTAGGCACTTGGGACATCACAGTGAATATGGTACAGCCCCTGCCATCGTGGCCTCACACTCCAGTTGTGGAAAGAAATGAGTTAATAGATTTCTGTAGAGTATCATAGTGCTGGGATGGGAGAAGCACAGGATACTTTGAGAGACAGAAGGAAGGGCCTCACTCTGTCCTAGGGTGCCATTGAAGCCAAACTGTGCAGGGTGGGTAAGAATTAACCAGGGGTAGATGGAGAAAAAAGTGTTCTAAATAGAGAGAACAGAATATGCGAAGTCTCAGAGGTAAGAATGAACATGGCAAGTTTAGGAATCTCCTCCCATAGATCAGTGGGGCTGCAGTTCAGAATTCAAATGGAACAGTAAAGGTTGATGAGGGAAGAGAGTGAGGCAGGAACCAGCAGACTGAGAGCCACAGATGTGAGCTAGGATACCTGAACATCAAGAGGTCTAGTAGGAGTCTCTTTTCTGAGCTTTCTCTGAGCTATCTCCAGGCTGGACAAAGCAGTGAGCATGGGGGCTGGTGTTCTCTCTTGTAGATAAGAACAGCTGGCAGGAGCCTGGCCAGAAGCTCTACAATGTGGAGGCCACATCCTATGCCCTGTTGGCTCTGCTGCTGCTCAGAGACTTTGACTCTGTGCCTCCTGTCGTGCGCTGGCTCAACGAGCAGAGATACTATGGAGGTGGCTATGGCTCCACCCAGGCAAGTGGTTCCACATCCCCCAGGCAACTGCATCCTTACCTCCCCTGGCCTCCCACTGGCCTCCTGGATATGATGCTGAGACAAAGAGAGGCAGTTGATTGGAATGAAGTTGAGAAATCAGGTTTGGTGTTTTTTTTTATTGTTGTTGCAAATGTATCCATGGATTCTAGACTAAATTCTAGATGCCCCAAGCTGTGTTTTGAGCCTCCCTTTCCCTCCTGGTGTCTAGAATTTGTTTTCAGAGCCCAGGTTCAGGTGTGAGCCTTTCTCTGATAGTTTCTAGACCATGTTCCTATTTCCACCAGGCTTCTCATCTTATCCTGTCTCACTGGCATATTCTAGACCAATTCTCAATTATTGTAGGGAATCATCAAGTCCATCTCTCCCTCTGGTGGGTTCTAGACCATGTGCTCAGTTCTACTAGACTCCCAGTGTTACCTGTCTTACTGTGGGTTCTAGACCTTGTTCTGTTTTTTAGAACATTGTCAAAGTCTGTCTCTTTCCCTGCTGGGTTCTAGACCATGGTTTCAACCTCAAGTCTAGCAATCTCAGGCCTCAGTTTAATCCCCTTTCTCTCTGGTGGCATTCTCAGTATCACTTTTTTTTATCCTCAACCAAGGATATGTTTCTTGATTTTAAAGAGAAAGGAAGGGAGAGAGAGAGAGAGAGAGAGAGAGAGAGAGAGAGAGAGAGAGAGAGAAACATTGATTGATTGCCTCCTGTATGCGCTCTGACTGAGGATTGAACCTGCAACCTAGGTGTGTGCCCTGACCGAGAACCGAACCCACAGCTTTTTGGTGCATGGGACAACGCTCCAACCAACTGAGCCACCTGGTCAGGGCTCAGTGTCACTTTTGGATTCTAGATCATATGCTCAACTCCAGTCTCCAGGCTCCGACTTTATTCTTATTTCACAAATGGGTTCTAGACACATTCTCAGTGTCTCCAAACCCTTGTCTTAGATTCTTTTCTCTGGATGGGTCTAGACCACATTCTTAGTGTTACTAGACCTTCAATCTTATGCCTGGACTTTCTGGTGTATTATACACATATTCAGTGTCTCCACACTCTGGTGTAAGCCTCTGTCCCTTGGAGAATTCTAGGAGATGTCCTCAGTGTCTAATGACTCCTAATATTACCCTATGTTCTGGTTGGTTCTAGGTCACAGTCTCAGTGTCACCAAGCCCTAGTCTGAGCCTCTCTCACTCAGAGAGTTCTAGAACACGTCCTTAGTATTCACCAACCCCCAGTCTTATTCTCACCCCTCTGGTGGGTTTTAGACCACAGTCTCAGTGGCCCACCTCTAAGCTGAGCCTCTTTATCCCCCAGTGGGTTATAACTGCTTTCTAGGTCTCCCAGATCACCCTCTTCCTCTCTCATGGGTTCTAGGCCACTTTCATGGTGTTCCAAGCCTTGGCCCAATACCAGAGGGATGTCCCTGACCACGAGGAACTGAATCTGGATGTGTCCCTTAACCTGCCCAGCCGCAGCGCTCCGGTGTTACACCGAATCCAATGGGACTCCGCTAGCCTCCTGCGGTCAGAAGAGGTACAGCTGCCCGGCCAGATCCTCCTCGCTCTCATCCTCTGTGCCATTCAGAGTCTGCAGAAAGCAGGAGGGAAGGCAGGTGACCATTGCAGCCAAGGGAGGGCTTGGTTCCCAACACCTTCTCTTCTTTCTCCCTACTCTCTGCAGACCAAGGAAAACGAGGATTTCACATTAACAGCTAAAGGGAAAGGACAAGGCACCTTGTCGGTAAGGAACGGAATTCACACCTGCTTGACTCACCACCTTCTCTCAGCCCCTCTGACCCAGAAGGATCCTTTTCTTCCCAAGTCAAGTAGGCTGACAACTCATCTCCCTTCCCATCTATCCAGGTGGTGACAATGTATCACGCCAAGGTAAAAGGCAAAGCCCAGTGCAAGAAATTTGACCTCAGGGTTAACATACGACCAGCCCCTGAATCAGGTAGAAGGAATAAAGACCCTATCTGTCACCCTTCCCCCACTGCCATTCTAGTATCTGCCCTGCTCCTGATTCGGGACGCAGCTCCCTCCCATCCTTTTGTCTTCTGTGTTTCTAGTCAAGAAGCCTCAGGACGCCAAGAGCACCATGTACCTTGAAATCTGTACCAGGTAAGAGATGGGTCACTGGGATTCATCACGATCATCCCTCTGTCTCTCGCAAGACTTCTTATAAATAATATCTGTGGTACCTAACACTTTCTAGCAATGTATTAAATGCCCAGTACAGTGCTGAGCACCTTCCAGGAGGTAGACAGCACAGCAGTGTGTACTTTGCACAGTGGTGTGAGACTAGCCATGACCACATAAGCTGAGACGGTGCAAAGTGATGTTAATAATCAACAAGGGAGATTACAGTTGCTTCGGGAATTTTACATTATTTCTTATCACAACATCAAAAGCTCTCATACTGCTGGCTATAAAAGTATAAAGTAATGAAAAGTATAGTAAGATGAGTATTTATTTAGTGCACTGTAATTTAAAACATTAGAACCTTGAGATTAAAGTTGGTTTTGTTTATTTTGTAAAGCACTTATCCAAAGCCCTCTGGTTTGAACAGTGCCTCCTTTCTTCTCTGTTTCACTTATGATATGGAGCAAGCATCTTTTTCTTTTTTGTAATCCTCACCCATGGATATTTCTCCATTTATCTTCAGATAGATAGAGTGGGAGGGAGAGAGAGAGAGAAACATCTATGTGAAAGAGACACATTCCCCTGTTGCCCCTTGCACAACCCTGACCAGGGCTGGGGACTGAACTGCAACCCAGGTACATGCCCTTGACTGGAATCAAACCTGCAACACTCTGGTCCATGGGCCCACGCTCTAATCGCTGAGCCAAACCGGCCAGGGCGGAGCAAGCTTCTTTTCTATGATGTTTTGAAGTGCCTCTTCCCTTCTAAATTTGGGTCAATGTCCCACATTTAATCCCTTGAGCTTTCAAAGTCACGAGGTAGTTGAGAGTTTCTTCACTGTGAAGTTTTTTTTCCAGTGTCCACTTCCTCTGGGACCTCTTTTTTTTTTTTCTATCACAACCACTTTCTTCACTTATGAACTTCACTGAGTTCCTCTGGCTACATTATGGTCTCTCCAGTAGCAAGTGAGACTAGCCATGACCACATTCCCACAATCTGCCGATTTCTTCTTTGACTCCATTTATGTGCTGTTGAAATTTCACTCCCAGCGTTACCACTCTTCATTTCTTTTGCTGCACTTATATCTTTGTTGGCCAATTCCCTTTCGATTATCCATTTTGGTAAAATCTCACATGGGTTTTTACTGAGAGAGAAGGAAGTAACAACCACTGCATGAGCTGACTGGCTGGTGCTCAGTGACCCATCACCGACAGAGTTAGGAGAAGTGATGTGACTGGTCATTGACTGGTGCACATTTGTTTGTGGAGTGATTGGTGGACAGAAGAGCATGCAACTAGATTTGTCCTTTAGGCAATCCATCATGATTAATATATGGTGGCACTGGAATTAGAACCTTGTTGCTAAGGGACTGGTGTTATTGAGCTAGACCACAATATGGAATCATGCAAAGTGAGACCTGCATGTATTCTTGTCTTCATTTTCCAGAAGAACTGAGACATAAAGAGGTCAAATGACTCATCAAATGTCACATAGACCTGGGATTTGAACCCATGTAGTTGGGCTTCAGAGGCTGAGCAGTTAGTTGTCTTGACCATTACACACCTTTCCTCTATTCCCCTTGGGGGAGTGTTTCCTAAGATCTAACATTCCTTGGTGTGGCTGTGTGAGAAGCAGAAGCCTCCGTCCCTGATCAGACTCCTTTGTCCAGGCATTGATCCCTAGGGCAGATCCCGCCTGGGACTCAACCCCTCTCTCCCTGCCCCATCCAGGTACCTGGGAGACGAGGATGCCACTATGTCCATCCTGGACATATCCATGATGACTGGCTTTGCTCCCGACACTGCTGACCTCAAGAAGGTGTGAAAATCCTGGGCTCAGGCTGGGATCAGTGAGAAAGAGCCTGGGGTCTGGAAGAGGCTGTGGGAGGGAAGGATATCCAGGAGGGGTTTTCACAAGCCCATCCCTTCTCCAGCTGGCCACTGGCACTGACAGATACATCTCTAAGTATGAGTTGGATGACAAGGCCTTCTCCAACAAGAACACTCTCATCATCTACCTGGACAAGGTAAAGCTTCTACTGGGATCTTGACCCACATGTGGCTGGCCTTTTCCTTCTCCATTGGTCTTTGTCCTCTGCTCAATCCATTCTTTCTAGAAGAAAAGAGGATTGATTGTGCATGAAATGGGTTTTTTAATTTTTTGTATTTTAATTTTGTACTTTTAATATTTTATGTAATTTCAACCTTACAGAGAAATTATAGAGCAGTATAAAAAATTTCCATACACCCTTTACCCAAGTTCATTGTTAGCATTTTTCTCCAAATATACATGTCTATCACATAGACACACATCTGTCTGCCTTCCTTCCTTCCTTCATTTTTTTCTCCTCATTTATTTTTTTCCAGCTTTATTAAGATATAATTGGCATATAACATCGTGTAAGTTTAAGGTGTACAATGTAATAATTTGATATATGTATATTGGAAAATGATGACCACAATAAGGTTAGTTAGCATATGTACCACCTCATAGTTATAATGTGTGTGTGGTGAGAACTTAAGATTTACTGTCTTAGCAACTTTCAAACATACAATGCAGTATTGATGATCACGGGATTTTTTTTTTAATCCTCACCCAAGGATATTTTTCCATTTATCTTCAGATAGAGTGGGAGGGAGAGAAGGGGAGAGAGAGACACATCAATTGGTTGCCTCCTGCACGACCCCAGCCAGGGCTAGGGACCAAACTTCAACTGAGGTACGTGCCCTTGACCAGAATTGAACCTGAGACCCTTAGGTCTGCGGGCCAACGCTCCAACCCCTGAGCAAAACTGGCCAGGGCTCCATGGGATGTTTCTATGGGTACAGATAGTAATCTGTTGGCCAGAATTCAATTTCATGGCCACACCAAATGGAAAGGGAGGCTGTGAAGAGTAATCTAGCCATGAGCCTTGGAAAAAAAGAAAACAGATTTGTTGAACTGCTCATTAATCTTTGCACTTCCTGCCCCTCATCCTCCCCACTCAGATCCCTCCTTGATTCCTTCACTTCACCACTGCTCCAGCCCCCATTACCCTATGCTGGACTTCCTCCCATGTCACCCCACTGACTCACCTCCTCCTTTTCCAGATCTCACACGCACATGATGACTGTCTAGTCTTCAAAATTCACCAATTCTTTAACGTGGGGCTTATCCAGCCTGGGGCAGTCAAGGTGTACTCCTATTACAACCTAGGTGAGTGGCCAACCTAGGGCCTGGGGTCTGAATGTCCCAAGCATCTATGAGTTGGGGGTCTGGGAGTCCCTGGGCTCATTGAGTTGGGAACCTAGGGGTCCTAGTGTTCAAGCCCTAGCATCTCCAGGTTTGAGGGACTGGAGTTGGGAATCTGAGCCCCACAGGCATGGTCTTGGGCTGAGGCCCTAGTTCTCTGATGCCCCACAACACCTTCGCCCACAGATGAGTCATGTACCCGGTTCTACCACCCGGAGAAGGAAGAAGGAATGCTGAGCAAACTCTGCCACAATGAAATGTGCCGCTGTGCTGAGGGTGAGTGCACAGGAGCCAGGAAGTGGCAGGCCACGCCCACTGGACCCCACTTCCATGGGGGGGTGCAAGGGGCTCCGAAGCTCACACCCAGTGGACACCAAGGGGGATGGCCCCGGGGCCAGCCACACCCATGGGTAGTGGGCCCTGGGTGAGAAGGGGGGCTTAGATCATGTCCCTGCCCACCCACCCCACAGAGAACTGCTTCATGCACTTTTCGGAGGACAAGGTCACCTCAGAAGACCGGCTGGATAAGGCCTGCGAGCCAGGAGTAGACTATGGTGAGGAGAGGGTGGGGAAGGCACGTGCATGTGTGACTGTATGTGAGTGATGGTGTGTATGGCTGTGGTGGTGTGTGTGAGACTGTAGGTGTGGTCATGGTTGTGTGTGTGACTGGCTGCGAGTAGCCATGTCTGCATGTAGCTGTGTTTCAGGCTATGGTTGTGGGTGACTGGTGTGTGTGTGTGTGTGTTGTTCCCCAGCCATGATTGCATGGGGAACCATGATTATGATTGGACTGGGTATGTGTAAGAGTGTGAAGAAAGGTGGCTGTGAATAGATGTGGTTGTGTGTATTTGTGAGATTGTGGTTGTGGGTAGCCATGATTGTGTGAGATGGTAACAATGGATAGGAGTAACTCTCCTTGTGTATATGATGAGTTGTGTGCTGCTGTAATTGTGCACATGGCTTTGGTTGTGTATGTGAGATGGTGGTTGTATGACCCTATATGGCTGCCTGAGTTACTGGGGGAGGCAGAAACTGTAGCATGATGGACTGCAATCCTGTATGTATCTGCTTGGGGGAGCCATGTGCCCAGATACGCTTGCAAGTAGGGTGCCCTGCTGTCAACCCTGCCCATGACCCATGCTGGCCCTCCCCTCTCCTGCAGTGTACAAGACCAGGCTGCACAAGAAGGAGCTGTCAGATGATTTTGATGAGTACATAATGGTCATCGAGGAGGTCATCAAATCAGGTCAGCCCTGCACTGCCTTCTGCCTTTCTGCCTTCCCCTCTCTCCTCCACTCCTCCTCGGCTTAATTCTCCTTCCTCCAGGCACTGATGAGGTGCAGGCTAATCAGCAGCGCAGGTTCATCAGTCACATCAAGTGCAGAGCAGCCTTGAAGTTGCAGGAGGGGAAACACTACCTCATGTGGGGCGTCTCCTCAGACCTGTGGGGAGAGAAATCCAAGTGAGTGCAGGCCCTGCGCATGTGTGTGCTCACTCCACCACCCTTCCCGGGGCCCCTCCTCACCTGCCCCTTCTGACCTGCCAACTGTCCCTTCTCCCCAGAATCAAGTATATCATTGGGAAGGACACTTGGGTGGAGCTGTGGCCTGAAGACGATGACTGCCAAGACGAGGTGAACGAGGCACTGTGCAATGACCTGAAAAAATTCAAAGAGAGCATGGTCGTTTTTGGCTGTCCCAACTGACCCCCCAGCATGGTCCCCCCAATAAAGCTTCATTTGTATTTCATGTGATCTCCCAAAGTCTGGAGGTCTTTGTGAGAGAGAAAGCAGCAGCCGTGGTCTCTGCCTCACCTGTGTCTCAGCTCTGTCCTTACCTGAAATCTCCAAGAGATCTCATTTGCATTCTTGCCCTTACACCCTCACCATTCTCACCTGCAGCTCACTGCCCCTTAACCTGAGTTCTCACCTACTTGCATACCCTCTTTACCGCATCCTCGCCTGAATTTTTTACCACATTCTCATCTGAAGCTTTACCTCTTCTCTTCTCTTTGACTATATCCACCTGCACATTTTGCATCCTCACGCAGCCCCCCACCTACATCTTTGTCTGTAAACTTACCTATATCTTTACTTATATTTTCACCTGTCTTTTCACCTGCATCCTCAACTGTATTTTCTCTGTATTCTCATCTGGGTCCTCACCTGCATCTTTACCTACATCCTTCTCTGGATCTCTTCCTGTTTTCTTACCAGCATCTTTAGCTATATTTCAACTGTCTTCTCACCTGTACAGTCTCCTGTATCCACTGTCCCTTTTTTGCCTCCCGACCTGGCTCCCATTTACATCTTCATCTGGAAATGTATGCTTATCTTTGGCTGAACAGCATTCTTACCTAGATTCTCACTAGTTTTTCTATCTTCACCCTCTTTTGCAGGTGTATTTTCTCTGTATCCTCCTCTGAGTTATTACCTGCATCATTACATACATCCTTCTCTGGATCTCTTCCTGTCTTCTTATCAGCATTCTCACCAATAGTCCCACCTGCACAGTTACCTGCCTTCTCACCTGCACCTTCTGCAGCATCTTTACCTGTGTTTTCATCAGCATCACCATCCTACAGTCCTGCTCTCCTTTCTCACCTGCATCTTCACCTGTTTTCTTCATCCTCCTGTTTGTGCCTCATTCGCAGCTCACTATCTCCATTTGCTATCTCACTTGCATTCTCTTTTGTCTTCTAGGCTCACCCCACCTTCCCAGTCACCACTTTTGGATGTGCCTGAGGAGACTCCTCAATGCTCCTGTAGTACCCAGTGGGGTGACTTGCCCAGGAGGGGGCAGTAAGGGGCAGGCAGGGTGATATTTCCAGTGGAGACCTGAGTGAGTGAGGGGAAGGCATGAGTCAGCAGTTGAGGAGAGAGTGCAGGGGCTGTTGCGGTCACAGCATCACCAGAACTGCATGGGGTGGCGGGGTAGCGATGATAACCACCAGGTTGAGTGGAACTATTGGTTGGCAAGTGAAACTGGGGCTCCAAAGGCCTCATCTAACCACTAGATTCTCGAAGACTGTTGAGGGTGGAATCCAAGCTCAGGGTTCTAGATCAGGTCATCACGGAAAAAGCCCTTCAGCCTAGAATTTACCCCAACACAGCCCCCTTGCCCTAAAACCCCCAGGTCCTAGAAACCTCTACCTCGCACTTCCAGAATTATGGAGAAACACATTCACAACCCACCACTGCTTCCTCCAGCCCCCAACTGCCAGAGACTTCTGTGGAAGGGAGACTCAAAGACCCTCATCACTTACTAGGTGCTCCAGCTAATATCTGTCTTCCATCCCCTACTCCATGTCCATCTTGCTTATTTCCCCCTCTTCTGGCCCTGGGGTCCATTTTCTTCATTTCTTTAACACATGGGGTTTTGTTTTGCTTGAGCATGAGGGTTTTAGGCTGTGAATATTTTGAAGACAGCATGGAGTAGATTTCAGACAGTGAGGAAGAAAGAACAGGGCAACATGAGAAGGCTTGCCTGGGATGAGGTCACCGAGAAAGGTCATTTAGATGGAAGGGTGGTTCATCATATATGTGGACTTAACTAGGCCATGAACACCAACTGTTTGGTGAAATATCAGAAATGTAGCTATAAAGGTATTCTTTTTAATGGGATTCATACTTATAGTCAATTGACTTTAAAAGCACTTTACCTGAGCCCTGGCTGGTTTGGCTCAGAGGTTAGAGCGTTGGCCTGTGGACCAAAGTGTCATGGGTTAGATTCCCAGTCAAGGGCATGTACCTGGGTTGCAGGTTTGATCCTGGACCCAGTCAGGGTCGTGTGGGAGGCAACCAATTGATGTGTCTCTCTCACACTGATATTTCTCTCTCTCCCTCCCTCCCTTCCACTCTATCTGAAAATCAATGGAAAAATATCCTCGATTGAGGATTTACAAAAAACAAAAAAGCACTTTACCTTTGGTAATGTGAGTGGGTCTCATCTAATCAATTGAAGGGATAAAGAAAAAAAAAATCAGGTTTCCAGCAGAAAAAAGAATTCAAGAGGAGAAAAAGAATGGCAGTGGATTGAATGGAAGCTATACTGACCTTCTCCCAGGACCAAAATAAAATTACAACTAAAATATAGAAAAATCATTCAGAATAACCAACTGAAGACTAGCTGGAGAGAACCCTTATAACCAAAGATGTAAAGAGGAGCCCACATCGAGTCTGGTAGGAAGTGCAGAGGTGTAAGAGGGCTGACGTGGCGCCCACAGGCAGCAGCTAGAATTCCAGAGGGATGTATGTCTCAGCTGTGGAAGGTTGCCCTGAGAAGTGTGGGGTCTAAACCCCAAGCTGGGTGGCCTAGTCCAGAGTAGGCACCTAGAACCAGTAAAGGTGCTCACATAAGATCTGGCTGTGAAAAGCACCAGAGGTTCTGTCTGGCAGAGAGAGATGGTTGGAAACACAGGCACCCTCACTGAGGCCATCACAATAAATTTGTGTACAGACACTCACCTTGGACCCCAGTAGAGGGAGGGCTGAGTAGACTGGAGCTGCATGAGAAGAGTCTGGGATTCAGGCATCTAGGGAGTGAGCTGGGAAGGCAGACACCAGGAGCCCTGTGCTAAGTCATTCCCCCAAGGTACAGAAGCCATCTTTCTCAGGAAGAGTTTTTCCATTAAAGCAGCTTTAGCATGGGGTGGGGAGCAATTGTTCCACATGCTGAAATTTCTTTCACCCTGCCCTCTTGGTGGAGTTTATATCTAGCAGAAGTATGCAGCCTAAGGCTCATTAAATGGCTGAGACTAACGGCCACCATGCTGGCAGAGATGGACCTCTAGGTAATTTGAATCTTTCCCTGGCTTGTGACTCTGCCCCAGGAGAGTTAAACTAGATCTTGTTCAGCTTGGTCTGGTCCACACATCCAGCCTCAGCAGAGAGAGCCACAAACTTCACATCATTGATATCCTCAGAGAGACTTTGGCTGGCTCCAAACTCTGATAAGGTGAATTGCAGTTTACATGATAAGTAACTGCACAGCAGCCTGCTTGCTGTGTTGGGGGTTGAGCATCACTGTAAGCCAGGCAGCAGGTCAAGCTTATGTACAAATGGGCAATACCAATCAAAGCACACAAGGGACAATATTAGAGCATCCAGGTCTGGTGCTCAGGGACACTGCACAATTGGGTCCCACAGGTTACCTATGACATTAGATCATCCTACCCAGACGGAGAGTCACAGCAGATCTACCTAATACATAGAAACAAACCCAAACAGGCAGTAAAAATGGTGAAACAAAGAAACAAGTCCCAAATGAAAGAACAAGAGAATTCTCCAAAAGGGCTAAATGAAATGGAGCTAAGCAGTTATCTGGTATAGAATTCAGAGTAATGATTAAAAGGCTGCTCAACAGCATGAGTAAAGATATAGAAACAATGAAAAACAACCAATTGGAAGTCAAGAATGACATAGCAGAAATAAAGAACACACTAGAAGGAATAAACAACAGATTAGAGGAAGCCAAGGAAGGATCTGATCAGCAAATTATAAAGCAGGGTAGAAAAAAATCACTCAATCAGAAAACCAAAAAGAAAAAAGCTATTTTTTAAAAAACAGGAGGATAATTTAAGAGAGCTGTGGGAGAACATGAAACATAACATTCACATCATAGGACTAACAGAAGAAGAAAGTGAGCAAGTGTTGAAGAACCTGTTTGAAGAAATAGTGGCAGAAAACGTCTCCACCTCGGTAAAGGAAAATGGCATACAAATTCAGGAAGCATAGAGAGCCCCGAGCAAGAAAACTCAAAGAGGCCCATGCCAAGACACATCATAATTTAAATGCCCAAAATTAAAAACAAAGAGAGAACCTGAAAGACGGCAAGAAAAAAGCAACAGATTACCTACAAAGGAATTCCCATAAGGCTATCAGTTGATTTATCAACAGAAACACTACAGATCAGAAGGGAATGGCATAAAGTATTGAAGGTAATGAAAAATAAGGATCTGAAACCAAGACTACTCTATCTAGCAAGGTATCATTCAGAATAGAAGGTGAAATAAAGAGTTTTCTAGACAAAAACAAAACAAACTAAAGGAATATATCACCACCAAACCAGCATCGCAAGAAATGTTAAAAGGACTGCTGTAACAAGCAGAAGAAATATATAGAGAGAAACATAGACATAATTAATAAAAATGGCAATAAATAAGTATACTGTGTCTTTTGATTGAAGCATTTAATCCATTGACATTTAAAGCTATTAATAGCTTTAATAGCTTTAAATGTCAATGGATTAAATGCTTCAATCAAAAGACACAGTATAGCTGAATGGATAAGAAAGCATGACCCATATATATGCTGTCTACAAGAGACCCACCTCAGAACAAAAGACTCATACAGGATGAAAGTGAAGGGATGAAAAAACATTTTCCAAGCAAATGAAAAAAAAAAAGCTGGGATAGCAATACTCATATCTGATAAAATAGACTTGAAAATGAAGGCCTTGCAACAGACAAAGAAGGCCACTACATAATATTAAAAGGATCAATTCAAGAAGAAGATATGATCTTGGTAAACATATATGCACCCAATACAGGAACAACAAAAAATATTTTAAAATTTCTGGAGAACTTCAAGGGAGAGATCGACAGCAGTACAGTCATAGTAGAGGATTTACACCCCACTGACATCACTGGATAGATTCACCAGACAAAAAATTAACAAAGAAACAGAGACACGAAACAACAAACTAGATCAGATAGATTTAATTAAAATTTACAGAGAATTACACCCCAA